CTGAATATCTGACATTTTTGCAAGTGCTTGGATGAATTCAGTTTTATTCACAGCAGATTGACAGTTCCAGAGGCCAAAAGTAAATGAAGGGTGGGTAGAAGAGGCTTTCTTAAGCAGAGACAAGTTGTTAAGAGTTCGTTGTCTATGACAGATATGTCTTTTCCTGTTCCCATGAATGACAGAGATTTCTTTGTAGCACATGTTGCGTTTAGCAGATGACCAGAGAAAATAGGCAAAGCAGTAGTTGTGGATACCCGGGCTCTGTGGCCACGCTAGTTTTCAGATCAGAGCTCGTTCTGCTGGCAGTTTCGGATTCAGACTCTTTTAAGATTGGATTTTCGTGAAAATCCTGCCCCAGATTTTCAGTTTGCAATCAACAGAGGGTGTGACACGCGCCAACTGCCTCTCCTGTTGATGCTCAGAGAATGAAACTTAAGTGCTCAGTCCAAACAAAGCCTGACAACGACCCACTATCAATATCTACTCAAAGCAAGTTTCGATTCACCCACCTAGCTGACAAGACCTTCCTAGTTTTCAGATCAGAGCTTGTTCAATCATCTTAAAACTACTAAAATAAAAGTGTTGCTAATCAGTCATGCTTGTCACAGAATGTTTTTTTTGTCTCATTCTGGCAAAACTAAAAATTAAGATTCAGGGGTAGTATGTGTATAGTGTCAGTATTTGTTCTTGTACAATCTAAGTAAACATTACAAGATAATATAGATAGGCCTTCTTGTGTCTGATTATAATAATGTTTTAATTAGTGGTTGAATATTGTCTTGATAATGAGAACCGTAAATAGTTACTTAATGATGTACATAAGTCTTTGTTTCTAAAATATCTGCCCTGATTTCCACCTTCTGTTCAGCTGAAAACTACCACAACAGTTGCCACCAGCAGATCCTTTCAGGAAGATCGGATATGGCTCAATGGCAAAGAGGAGGACATAAACCATCCAAGGCTACAGTCTTGTCTCAGAGAGAGTGAGTCCTGGCTGTTTTCCCCCTCTTAATAGCACAATAATAAAATAACCTACGTGTCAAAGAGAGTCAGCCAGGCCAGTGTGTAATCTTTCTGTGTACTCAATCTAGTTCGACGATTATCAAGGAAGAGACGTAATGACGGGGACCCTATTTTGAATGCCACTGGTTTATCTCACAAAGTCCACATTTGTTCTGTTAACAACTTCCCCACTGCTGCCGGACTCGCTTCCTCAGCGGCTGGATTTGCTTGTCTAGGTAAGAATGTGTGCAAGTGTGTATAAACTTTCCATGACTTATATAAATAATTTTGTTATGAGCTGAGAAACTTGCAGCACGATAAATACTTCAAGCTATAGTATGTTTGCTGTGTTTTCCCTTTTATTGACATAACCTGTTAGTTTCATGTTTTGTCATCGCTGTGTTGCAGTTTACACTCTTGCCCAAGTATTTGGCATAGAAGGGGAGCTGTCTGGGATTGCTAGGCAAGGCTCAGGCAGCGCATGCCGGAGTATCTATGGAGGGTTTGTCCAATGGCTCATGGGGCAAAAAGAAGATGGCAAGGACAGTTTAGCCCAGCAGGTGGAGCCAGAGAGTCATTGGCCTGAGCTCAGGATACTTGTGCTTGTGGTAAGTCCGTTTTTGTGCATTTGAATTGAGAGAGGAAAAACATTACATATGGGACTGTGAGAATTAGTAACTAAAGATTTCTTGTGTTACATGTACAACAAATTACTTGACTATTGTTTATAATGCACATTTAAAGGAGCAGTAGATATTTTAAGATATCTACAGCATTAAATCGTAAAACGACCTTACTATATCTAGACGTTAAGGAAACATGCTATGTTGAACTGCTGGCTTCTCTGACAACAACGCCGCAGCCACTAGGTCCCACTTTCTACATTTTGATTCCAGTGTGGAATCTGCATTTGTTTGGACCATAGAAGGTAGGCTGTTTCAAGGCACCTCCACATGGCTGTTTTTGACCCCCCTTGGTTTGCACAATATGAGACCAGTTATCACAACAAACCATCAGGTGTTGCAATGATAGAAGTGGGCAAGCAAACTGGTTCAGATAACTGATTCTACCTGACCTAAAAGGCCTCTGCATTGCATTTTACAAGTTGTAAAAATGACATCAAATGGTATCAATGCACATTTTCACAGGCCAGCGCGGAGAGGAAGCCAGTGGGCAGCACTTCTGGGATGCAAACAAGTGTACAAACAAGCTGTCTCTTAAAGGTATTTTGTTTTACTCAAACTTTTGATATTCAGTTAACTTAGATTACAAACATGTTAAAAACTGGAGATTAGACTGGTTTAAACTGCTTTGAAAGCTGTGCCAAAGAAGGTCTATGTCAATCTTTTCTGTGTCTTTGTGGCTGTAGCACCGCGCTGAGTCGGTTGTCCCAGGCCGGATGGCAGAGATGATCCAAGCAGTGCGAAGAAAAGACTTTGCTGCGTTCGCTGAACTTACCATGAAGGACAGTAACCAGTTCCATGCCACCTGCCTCGACACTTATCCTCCCATCTTCTACCTCAACAGTGTGTCACAACAGGTTATCAATGTGGTGCATCGGTATAACAGACACTACGGGGAGACACGGGTGAGCAACTTCACACTGTGCCATCTCTAGTTGTCTTTGTCTATCATGTTTAAACCCAGTGTTCTGTTAATTTCAACAGCTTCATGTGAAAGCTGCTTTGAAATCAAATACTTGTTCCTGCATTATTACTCATCTCAAAACAAGAACTCAAGGCATAAGGAATAATGGATTGTGATCTCTGAATGAAAAACAGTCAATTAGATAAAACATGGTGTATTGAACGGGTATAAAACACTCGTAAATTAAAGTAGAAACATGCTTTTTGTTTTGGAGTCTCATAAGAATATGATAATATACTAATATGTTTAACTACAGAAATGTAGATTCATTTTATCTTGCCTCAGTTCACGCAGCTGAAATTCTAAGATGGTGTAATACAGATGTGAAACTTGAAGGGGGTTTTTTAGACCAGGGAACAGAAAGCTCTCTCGATATGACGGTCACAGTCTGTTTGTGTCTTTCTAGTTGGCATACACATTCGATGCAGGACCCAACGCTGTGATCTTCACGCTTCAGCAGCATGTTCCTGAGTTGGTTGAGGTGGTTCAACATTTCTTCCCTCCAGAGACCAACGGAGGACAGTGAGTTGACAGTGACTTGACCTCTGTCAATATTACTGACATGCAAACATATTATCTAAATGTGTTGTTTATATTTGTATGAATACACAGTAATAGATGAATACTTTAGGTCCCTGGATAAGCTGTTTTACAATGTTGTAAAGGTGTGTTTTCTTTCTGCCTCTGATGAATGACTCATTGCATGTTTGCTTCTCTGCAGGTTTATTAAGGGCCTTCCTGTTAACCCTGTTGCTATTTCTGAGGAGCTGAAGCAGGCTATTGGCCTTGAGCCCATGTCAAAGGGAATAAGCTACATTATTAGTACCAAGGTACACTTAAACACACTGATGTATTTATGTACTGTTGCTCAAAATGTTTGTGTAAATGTATACTGTTAGTTTACATCAACATGCTTGATCTCTATGTAACAGCATGTCACTTTTAAAAGACTGCACAACACACATTTTAAAGCTGGGATATCTCTATCAGGAGATAGTGACACAAGTTTAGATCTCTTTCCACATTTCCTTGCAACTTGCTCTGACCCAACATTTTGTTGCGCATGTTCAGTTGAAATTGTGCCACACACTTTGTGATAAACAGTGTTTGTTTCCCTATACTGATCTAACACTAGTGAGTTAATCCATCTTTATACATTTCAATGCTAAGATATTATTATAACAAGAAATCTGAGAGTCTGAAAGTAATAAAGAATCTGTTCTGTGGTGTAACTATTCTTTTCTTATTCTCTGTTCAAGGCTGGGCCAGGTCCTCGTGTGTTGACGGATCCCACTCAGCATCTACTTGGACCTGACGGGCTTCCGAAAGAAAGTGTGTGACCTGCAACCTGGAGTGGACAACATTTAATAGCATAATAATGAATACAGTCAGCAGAAATTACATTTGTATTAGTGATATGTAACTATTTTTACAAGTAAAACAACACCAGACACACATGTCATTTTGTAATTTGTCTCTCTTCTCCCATTAGCCTAATTTCATCTGTGTTCTTGTAAACAATTCTCAGAAACTACAGGTAGATGTAAAGAGGTATTTTGACGCACTGAACTAAATACAGTAAAACTATGCAGCTGATCTCTTCCTCTCTGAGCAAATGACTTAATGTATGTCTTCATATATTTGGTCACTTTCATTATGTATTCATTTTACATCATGCAAAATCATCATTTTAGACCTACAGTATATATGTCTGTTGGTCTTACCCTGTTTCATAAATAAAAGGATATTTTAGTCTGAGAGTCTTTCATGTTTTTACTTCTGTCATTTCCAGGTTCATGTTCAGTTTGCTCACTCTGTCAGGGTCCATGGACAGGTGCAGGAAGAGAAAAAGAAGTACAAATCCAAAGTCTGTTCAATGTGACTTACACTGAGAGCATTAATCATCACTGTTATAAAATGATTAATATTATTGTAAAATATTTAAAGAAAAAAAACATAACATAATTAAGTCTAATAAAAGACTTAAGAGTGAACTACAAAAATGTATGAATGACATATTTGAAGAGCTTCGAGTAAAGACTTCTACGTAACAGAATCACAAATAAGTTAGTTTAATTGGTTATAGCGCTGCTCCTCCTCCTCCTCCGACCGAAACCGGAGAAAAGGTTTAAACAGAGGACAGTTCAGTGTTTAAAGGTCAGGACAAAAAACCCAAACCAACACAGGAACATAAAAAAAAAACTAACGACCGAATTTACCTGCCTGGTATTTGGTTAGCCCCTCCCCTTTTGTAATGTTCTTATGATTCTTAAATCAGAACTGGATAAGCTCCGCCCCTTACACAGCCAGCACGTCCACATTCCTTCATCACGTAAATACTTCTGCTTCCTTGTAGAAACAATCAGTGTGAGTCGCCCTGCTAGAGAGTCAAAGCTGTCTGTAAAGGGGCTGCTCAGGTGAACACGATGGGGAAAATAGAGTGGGCGATGTGGGCCAATGAACAGGCTCTGGCCTCGGGACTCAGTGAGTATTAAAACAATCTAAAAAGATAGCCTAATTAAAAGGCGATTAACTGGTTTTAATGCTATAAAGTTGTATCATCTTTTCTTTTTAAAAGGAGATTGTGTCTTTAATGCATCTTGTCTTTTAATAACTTATTTCTAATCCGTGATATTTATTACATTAGTTGTGCATCTCTTTTTTTATATCATTACATCAGTAGACAATGTCAAATCGTTTCTATAAGCTCTATATTGTGAATTGCTTTGACGTTTTGAATAGATGTTTAATTCTTCATGGGCTTGTCACTCTGAATAATGGCCATTAACAGGAACTTTCTTTGTTTAAAGTGTTAATTTAAAGTGTTAATTTAATCTTCCCGTGTCTTTGTTTCAGTTTACCTCACAGGAGGCATTGTTGGGGTGGCTGGACAGTTCAGAGGTTGGCAGTTTGCTGCATTTGCTGTGTATCCTTAAAGCTACTTGTTCATAAACCACTGCAGTTACATTTAAGTTGTGTATTTGTGAAAGTTTCAAGTTTCCTGTCAGTTTATCAAAACCACATTTTTTGCAGAACAAAACTGTAGCTTTTACTTTGTTGCTGTCAGCAAAACAAACAGGCAGTTTAAGAATCCACTTGAGCCTTAAGATAAAGATGCTATTGTAAAGACTGATATAAACTGCATCATGACAATATATAAGCTTGTACTTTTTGTGCATAGTGGCAGAGTAGGCCTGTGTGTGTGTTAATTACAAAAGTTTCTGTATGTATATAATGCAAGATAATCAACATTCTGCCTACTGAGCCTGGACCCAGACTACAAAATGTCCCCATTTAAAAAAAAAGATATTTTTATATTGATAAATACATGTAGGAAGTTAGAAATAGGCCTACATGTAGATTCGACATTTAAGCTGGCATTCCATTCATATCCTGCATTTATTCACATCAGACACAATCAGTCCATCCATAATTGCTTTGATGTGCTATCATAAGTGTTAAGTGACCTAGTGAACCATGTCATTTGAATCAGCCTTGACTGATAACCAGTGCTGCTGGAGTGTTTGTGTGTCTACTTGAGTATCCCAGAAGCAAGAGAGCCAAGGGCACAAGTGTAGAGAGAACGTAAGTACTTCAAGTTTCAGATCACGTAATGCTTTTTCATTGTAAGTTTTAGCTTTAATGGACAAACTATTTGCTGTTTGCTCACTCCTGTGGCTTGTTGTCCTTCAGGGGCCAGTACTGCTTCTCTGTGGTTGTCAAATCATTCGGGCCGCTGACGAGGAACTACTATGTCAGAGCCTTTATACTTGCTGCGTGAGTATTTTTTTCAGCCACTTTCCTCTGCTAGACAGCCATCCTCTTAGTCCCAGAACAATACCTTGAGACTAATGTTCCTTTTCCTTCTCAATCCCTCTCTGTCTGTTTTTCTTTCTGTCTATCTTTGTAGCCTCTGTGTACCTGGGGGTTTTATGCTTGCCACAGTTCTCGGATGTGTCTGCCTCGGCATCTCCAGCATCATCTACCTTGTGGTAAGTTGTTAGCTTTTACAACATTAACCTCCAGTAAATCAGGTTATAGACTGTGAACACTGATGAAGTTGTCAGATGAAGCAGGAAGTGGCTAGTTAGTGGAAACAAGGAAATGGCAACAAGGAAGAGATTGTTTCATTAGCTCTGTTAAGACATAGCCCTGTAGTTGTGAAATCCTAGCAGTCAGGGGTGTGTCCAAATTCTTTAACTGAACTAGATTTGTCAACAAAATGTATAAATCCTTCCAGGCTGCACGGTTTATCTCTTTAAAATATGCATGTGTACATGTGTACAGGACGAGGACCACTATTACCTGTCATCCAGATTTCAGGCAGCTGTAACTTGATGTTGCACTACATTACGGGCCATTATTCTTTGTGTTATATTTTGTTTGTAGGCAGCTATCCGAGGTGAACACTGGGAGCCCATTCTTCCAAGAAAAGAAACCAAAACGAAAGATACGGGTAGCATGATTAGACCTCCTCAGAATCCACCACCAAGACCTCCTCCAGACATGCACAGGAAACGGGTAGAAGACCTTGGGGGAGCGGCCTATGACAACGCCATCGATGTTACTGCTGATGAATAACCAGCCCGGTGTACCATACTCTTTTTCCCTCTCCCTGCCTGCCTCATTTTCGTACAATTTACACCCTTGTAACAGTGAGAGGTCAAGGAAGGATGGGTAAAGTGAATGTATTATTTTACTGATAACCAAAAAATACATGCCTCTGGAGATTAATATAAATGCAACCACTGCACAGAGTGGCTCTACAATACCCATGTTCATGTTGTTTAGAGGGAATCTTATTTTATTTAAATTACAGCTGTTATAAAAGTAGTTTTCTGCACCAATCACCATCATTTTTAACTCATGATGTATGAATTGTATTTAGTTGGCACATAGGTTATTACCTACTGTATCATGTACTTGTACTGTTGTTACTATTTGTGTATATGTGCATTTCTTGAAGTCAACTAATCACAGTACTATAAGTCTATATTGGATTAAATTGACATGTATGGCTGTACATGGCTGTAGCCATTTCCCCCTCGTATTCTAATGTCTTGTAAATAAATTCCTTCTGCTCTTTGAATCATGACCTCTCTTCAATTCCTGCATTCAAATGTCTTATTCAACGAGCTTCCCCTGGAAGTTTATTTAAAGAAATCACATTTGCAACTTCCTCCTTTTGCAAACACACAGTATTTCAGTACATTAGAATTTCCCTCTTTTATATGAATTCTCTTCTCAAATGGTTTGTCACACTGTCTTCCATTGTTTGTTTGAGATTTTATAATAATACATCTGCCATTACTGTCAGACAAGTTATACGGGTTAGTGACGGTTCTTTTCTGTCATGTTGTAAGATTTTCTTTTTTGTTGGCCATAAAAAGCTGTCAAGCAGCTAAGGTATGTGTGGAAAAAAACAAAAAACAATCGCACTTCCTCATTTTAGTTGTTGAGGCAAGTGTGACCCCCAATGTACAGTAGGTCTACTTGTTGGATATAAAGTTAATGTCTTGTAAACTGTTGTTTTTAATACAATCTGTTTGTATTTTCAATAACCAACAGAATGTGATGTTTTATTTTTAAGTGATTTTATTTCTCAGCTTATACTTGAGGTACTCAAAATAAGGATCAGTAAAAGCTTTCAAATCTTTTCATTAGGTTTATTCTTTTAGCCAGATTAATGCTGCCACCTCCTGCTGCTAGAGAGAAGTCACAAAATATTTTTTAACGCATTGTGTGGCGCAATGGATTCTAACAATTAATCAACTACAACACACATTTCCATTAGATATATTGTAGAAACAGAGCTAACTAGAAGGACTTAAAATAAACAAGACAATATGAAATAATCGATGCATATTGTCAACTTTTCAAAGAACAAGGATGAAAATCAAATTTGTAATTGACAAAGAAATCTGTCAATATAGGGTCCAAAAGTGCAACAAAAAAAACATCTGCAATAAACAGCTGTTTTCTGTCTTCTGTCGTTTTGTTGTACTCTCTTTATGTGTCGTTACGTTACTGTTACATTATCCCTTGCAGTTCAGTTCTGTTGTCTGATTGTGTCGTTCTGCTGTGTGTAAGATAAGATCAACTTTATTGATCTCACGTTGTGGGAAATTTGGTTGTTACAACAGCCCACAGTAGTGGACAAAGGTAATCAGCAATAGATAACAAAATGTAAAAGATGAAATTATGTTTACAGTAATTAAATACTTGAAAAATAAGATAAAAATAATGATAATTATTATTATAATATAGACTATGTACACCTTCACTTATGTGGAAAGATAGAGCCAGTTTTTAAAAACACATATGGTATGACAAAGTGACTATAAAGCCAGTTAAAGATTGCTGGTGTGAAAAATTATTTCAAAGATGAAATTGCCCTCTATGGATGAGGTAGTTATGAGATTGTTGGTTTGGAGTATATGCAAGTATTCTTATACATATAAGTACATATATATTGGTCTAAATATACAAGCATACACTACACATACATATACAGCCTACAGTCTCCCATGTATGATATGTCACATGGTGAGGATGCTATAAAGGAGTCTGACAGTGATTGCAGTCGGGTTGAATGACATGTGGTGGGGCTCCTTCCTAGGAGGTTTAGTCTGCTGCTGATATTATAGTTCATTTGTTATTGGGAACTTTAGAAAAAAACATCAGACACCTAGACCTTGCTTATCAACAGTTCAAGTAAATCAATATGATTGATTATAGACTTGATTGACGACAGTAAAATGAATCATAATGCAATTTTCCATCTATCCTATAGAGGGCAGTGATACATCTAGAAGCGTTTAAACATTTGATAGAAGAAGATCAGGCAGCCAATAGCGTTGACCCTCATATCACCGTCTTGTTGTGTCTGTCAGCTAACTAAAACAGAGTTTCATTATCGAGCATTAAAGTCTATGTATTCCATGATAAGTGGACCATGTCTACTCGGGCCTTACGGAGGTTGAGGGGGAAACAGCGGGGTCAGGAGGCCTTGGATCTCGGGGAGCTGACTTTGGGTGACAGCCCGGATGAGCAGCCTGCTGCGGGTGAAGAGGAGCAGCTGGACACGGCTAATGTTTCTCCTCCGGCAGACAGAAAAACCAGCAGAAAGGCAAAGAAAAACAAGGCTCAGAAAAACTTCAGCAACATTTATGAATTGGTGAGATTGCGGTTTGATACACTAACAGCATGTGACTGTAAACATAAAGTCATGAAGTGTTTCTTATTGGCAAATTACTTTTAGCCACTCTCTGTTGACATGTTGCTAACACAGGCTAATCTCCCAGCTTATTAAATGTTAACTATGCTCAGGTAAGATATAATGTAGGCTGAGGTTAACAAACAAGTTGGCTATAAGAAAATCACAGGAAAGAAGCCCACATCAAGAGCCTAACTTACAATAAACCAGAGAGGTAAAGTGTACTTTACGACAGTCATGTTTAATCATTTTACGACAGCTATATTTGATAACTTTACCTCAGGCTTTTGTAATAATAACTCAGGCATTTGATTGTATTCATTAAGTGCATAATATGGAGACTTGATTCTTAAAATGTACAGGATAAACTCCTCTCTAAACATTTCTTTCTTGCTTGCTTTAGAGACGAAGACAATTGTCTTTTTTCTTTGAATGTTCAGATCTTATATTGCCTTCATCCTAAACATCATAAAGATGTAATTTAAAGTGTAGAAATATTTGAATTGTGATAACATTAATATCTGTTTGTTAAGCATATTTTCATACATGTGTTAACTCAATAAGAAAGAGAATAAGACAAAACAGGTTATGTTTTGATAGTGTTATGAAAGAAAGTATGACTGTTAAACGTATTTATTTGACATTGAAGTGGCACTGACTCGGCGTGCACTCTGCAGCTGGAACCAAAGCAGAGCTTATTTGAAAACATTTTAATGCATGACAGAAGGACTGCATTACTTTTTAACCTTGTTTGTCAAACTTTTTTAACTTCTTGGCTTTTTTGTTCAAAGTTTGTCTGACATTGTTTCACACGAACAGTAGGTATAACATGTCATCATTAAGCTCATTTAATGTGTTTACACAAAACGGTTCAGGGGAAGATTAACTTCAGACTTATCTGTGCTCGTGCTCGCCTAGAGACACCATCAACCTTTGGTTCACAGCATTGTATTGGCTTTGTGCATACACACATCTTGTCCATGAGCTGTGTTTGAGATGGGATTTTTTTTTTAAATCTTATATTGTATTATCTCGCACCCCGGCATGTCCTCAACTTGGACAAAGTTTGTTTCTATGTATCTAGCTGTAAGGCTTTACTTACTGTTAGCACTGCTTTAACCAGTTCACTTTCTTGTGTTTTTTTCCTTTTTGCTAGATTTGTGATGCAGACAACGAGGCAGAGAAAATCTCACCTGATGAAGAGAAACCAGATGGAAATCAATCAAAGGATACAGAAAAGAATGATAACAGAGATGTTGAAAAACCAGAAGAAGCTAATTCACAGGTAAAGAAAACAAAAAAACATTGATGTGAAATGTGATAAGAATGCCTTTCTGTTCAGGTTGATTCAACAGAAACTTTGAAGCTAAGATGTATCTTCTGTTTAACAGTCTTTGTCAGGAGACAGAGTCAAAAAAAAGAAGAAAAAGAAGAAGACAAAAGTGGCAGCAGATGGTGGACAGGTACATTTTCTGAGATGTGATTCTTTGTGTTCTCTGGCGAGACATTTGTAAGACTAAAACTTAATAAAAAAAACCCAGACTATTTCATAAGGTAATTAACAGGTAATCAAAAATGAGTGTTGTTCTTTAACAACATGTAATGAGAATCATTTTACTGATAATGATTTGTATCGTACACACTTTATTTTAAAATTAATATTGTCTAAGTTGGTTCTGATTATTTTTTTAAAAATGTAATTCCAGGAGGCTGGCCCAAATGACGACATTGATTTATTGCTGCAGAACCTGGAGCAGTCTAATGGTTTGAGTTTGCAAAATGAGGATTGTGGAGGCACTGAACGAAGGTCTGTGCTACACGTGGAGCACAGGTGAGAAGTCCAACTTCCCGCATGTAGAAAAATAAATAGATTCATATTAGATGTCATTATGGGGTTATTATTATGACATGACTTGACTTGCAGTAGTGATATAAGCTAGCTCTTAACCAGTGCACAGATGATGTGACTTGATGAGCTCAATGACTGACTGTGATAAATGAGAGGCGTCCCTCACTGTGGGTTCATTTTCCCCTTGTTCCTTTTGGCACCACATGGTGGCGAGCAAGCTAGTTGGAGGCTGTCCGCCTATGGGGACGAACTACAGTGAATCAATGCTTATCTAAATTAGTTTAAACATACTGTTGCTCATCAGTATACTAAACAAGTGATGTCAGTGCATGCCATTTCAGTTTGCTCTCATAGGTCATTTACACATGTTAATTTCAAAGCAGATTTACATGTTTCTCTTTTTTTGTTTTTTTTATTAAAAATATAAGTTGACAGAAGTTACAGTTGCACAAACACAAAACTTCCCTTGTTTTTGCATTTGTGAGATTCTTATTTTACCTGTACAATCAGAAAAGAGAGTCAAGACATCTTCATGTTGATAATTAATGTACACACTCAGTATGTACAAACATGACCAGATAGGATGTTGTTTACTTTGTTTCATACAGAAGAAAGATTCATCCACAGAGAGAGGGGTTTTTAATCATAAAAGTCTAAATCTAACGAACAGGCAGAACACCTCACAGATTACTGAGAGACAATCTGGTTTATTATAATAACAGTCATAAATTTAGGTTTCCAGGATATGCGCTGCTAGACGCGCCCAATTAACCACAAGTTTTCCTTTGTTTTTAAGGTTGTTTATTCCTCTTCTTAACAGACAATTTTACTTTTTTGTGTAGATTTTGTGGCTGCTTTGCTGCGGTCTAAAAACAGTGTGACTGCATACCTGGGAACCCAGTTCCCCGACTGGGCACAGCTGATATTCATTAGCAGCCGCTCTCGCTCGTTCAATTGTGGGGCAGAGCTTTTATTACACACCTTCCTTTCCTCAACCACTCGGCATTAATTAATAATTCATTTAAATAATCATTAAACAACTCAAAATTGATAAACAAATGCAAAATATCCAATAAATCACGAAATCAACTATTTGGCTTCAACATAAATGATGATGTTGAATATCCCGCCTTCTATTTTAGTTCAGTATGAAAATGCCTTAACTTGTTGCGTTCATGTTGTACAGTTAGTTCACACATTCACCCGCATGTAAAACATCTGAATTAAACATATTCATGTATTTCTTTTGTTATCTGCGGTATTTCCTCAGCTGAGTCACATTTTCAGATATGCCTTTAAGATGTTAACAGGTTTTTTTTCTGTGTCAAATGGGAAGAAATCTCAACCCAGAGACGGAGCTGAAAAGATATTTTGGGGCTCGAGCTGTTCAAGGGGATCAAAGGTAAATGAAAAGGAAAAATCTTGAATCTTGAATTTGACACCTCTGTCATAACTGTAAATTCTTGTGATCCTTTTTTCCCCCCAACAGACCTCGACAGCGAAACAGACAGTTTCACCGTAGCACCTGGATGACCGGTCCCAAAGACAGCTGGCCTCGCTTTAGCCGCCCAGGTTAGCTTTAATTTACAGCCATGTGGATAAAAGTTTGTTCATGTATAAATCAAATATATCAGGCTTTTTGCTGTTGTTGTTTTTTTTTTACATATACTTTAATACAACCAACAAGTAAATCCTTTTTTCTCTTTATTTGTTGTTTCAAAATGAAAATACTGAGGGGTTGTGGTGACCCAATGGCATAATTTGATTATTACCCACCTCACACACTCGAGCTTACACGTAATTGTGACACCAATTATTATTATGATGACAAACATGAATCGTTATACTATTCTGTGGGTCACTGCATGTAAGACCTCATATAACAGTGTTAACAGTGTTACATCAACACTAAATGACATCTTGTTTTGAAAGCTTCTCTGCCGTGAAGAAGACTTCAGTGTCAGTCTGTCACATGAAACACTTCAAACTGTTCTGTGACTTATTAAATAACATGCAAGATAAAACTGGAACAATAAGTTTAATGATTTTAAACTTTCATGCATGTAAAAGTTGGTGCACTCGTTCTTTAGTTATTCCTATGGGGGTTTTGCCTTTTTTGTGTGTGGTTGTTCTTGACTCTGCTTGGTGTTTCCTCAGGAATTTCTATGACCTTACTGCAGTCACAGGACATTCAGTACTTCTCCTTTGAGCACAGTCGAGATTACCAACAAGTACAGTTCAAGTTTCTTGATGCAGTCGAGTCGATGGATCCCAACAACATTGTGGTAAAAAAGTTTATCTCTGCTGTGCAATTTGATTTCAGTCATGGATCATTCATTCTCAGGCAACTTCTGCATTGATATGGAATGTGTAAATGAATCAATGATGTGGGATTATGTGAATAGGCACAACATTTCATGGATCGTGTTTTCTATTTTCATCTTTTCAACTGTTGACATGAAACAGTCTCTTAAATCATCAAATCAGAGATAATCTCTGGACATTTTACACCTACTAGGTTAAGCCAGTATTCTTTACACACAGGATGGTTGTAAAATAACATTTTTTTGCTAACTTTAAGAGCTTTCTTGGTGAATCTTGTGTTTCTACATGCACAGTGATTCATCAATATGTACTATTTCACATGTAGAGGTAGGGAACTGGCTTTTTGCAGACAGGGTCTTCTGAATATACTTTACTGATCAAGCTCCAGTAGCAGTTGATGCAGCAAGATGAAGAATGGCTTCTGGTGATCATCTCTGTTAATGTTCCATAAACATGTAAAAATAATAGACAGCTTGATTCCTTCCTTTTCTTTTGATAACTCAAAAGTTGTGTGGGAAAGTTTTTCATGGACAAAAAAAAACAAAAAAAAACGTTTAAATCATTCCTCGTTTTCTCCTATATCTTCTGTGAACAAAGGTTAAAAAAAGCAAGCAAGTCCAAGACAAATTTCCTCAAGGGGACAATAAAGAGTGTCATATTGTGTCGTACGGTAAAATATTTCCAAGTATGTTTTATTTCTTTATAAAAAAAAAAGGTTAGGAAACAGTTTAGCGATGTGGATTTTCTTTCTCTTTTATCCTACCTGTAGTTTTCTTTTTTAACAGTCAATAAATGTGGAAAAATATTTTTGCAGGTGAACAAATAGTTCATAGGATCATTTCTCAACATTACTTTTTCCTTCTTTAGTAAAAACAGATTTAGATTTTCCGATTTTGTTGCATTCTCATTTCAGCCACAGAGGTTGAAGTGCAAAACTACCCCAGGTGCTTAGTAGGAAAAAACATTGTTTTTTTTCTGAGTGTGATTTTAATATATTACTGTGGTTCCAATGACCGTTGTTGAGTTTTCATTTTAAAATATTCAAAATTGTAAGAATGAATAAATCTGAGTCGAGTCCTGATTCAGTAAAATCAGGAGCAGAGTACTGCAACACCGCAAAGACAAGAAAACAAAAAAGCAGAACTACTCTGGAAAAAAATATTCTCACAGTCCATGTAATATAACACTATAGACCCTTTTTTTTTAAAGTGCCCTCGTATCTTCTCTTTTCCTCTCCAGTCACTGCTTCAGCTGAACCCGTACCACATTGACTCCCTGCTGCAGCTCTCTGACGTGTGCCGCATTCAGGAGGATCAGGAGATGGCCAGGGATCTCATCGGTAAGCATCATGATCTACCTTCCCAAACAACAATAATCGTTAACCAACAACAACACTGAACATGTTTTTACTACAAAGCAATGAACAAGACACAAACTCTTTTAGCAATGTTTCATGGAAGTTCCAGAGGTCGTTAATTTTCCCTTCTTTCTTTCTACATAAAAAGAGCCCGCCAATACACAAGCTCCTTCTGTTACAGTGCAGTTTTTTTATTACTACTTTTTTAACATTGACTTACAAAAGAGTAATCATGTCTCAAGAGGGTTCTGTGTTCTTTCATGTCCAGGTCTGTTTTTCTTCAGGGCTAAACAGATCAGGCATAAACTGTCCTCTTTTTATATTCATCACTTTATTTGCTCCCAACAAGGAACCACTGTGGATCTCTTTTCTCTCTTTTCTTCTTGATTCTCACAATGGTTAATTATTGAATCAGCATGACTTGGTACCTTATCTCGTTGAGTTGTAACTTCTTCATGAACGACATACCATCATAGAATATTTCAGGTATGCACAAGATCTTTGACTCTATCATGTTATCCTTTTCTTCTTTTTAGTCTGGAGGTAAAATACTATCATAACAACCAAATGAATCTGATAATAATGTGTCATGTTTAAAGGAATGATGCTTAGATCAGAGTGTGAAGCGTCATCCCTAAAATGATAAGAGAACTCATGTAGAACTATATTCAATGTTGACATCGATGAAAACATTACGCTTAGCTCGCTGTGTGGACTCTAGCGTGTTAGTTTGGCCTGTGTATTGAGAGGTCGTCGTGTTTACTTGTGATATGTTATCAAACTGGACAACTGTGCTTGTTTTGGTGCTCAGTGAGATTAGTTCATGCCCCATGCGAGGCACAGTCCATGTCCTTGAGTGGATGGTCAAATAGGAATTGCAGAAAACCAAAAGGATCATTTAACAAAAGGGGATTTGTCTTATTCCTGGTTTGATAACATGGCATCTTATGAACTCTGACATGATACAAAGAGTCAGTTGTTCTGTTTTTTCTGGTCTTTGTGAAGGTCTTGCAGGTGAGGGGCTGGTCTGTGAGAGAGGAGATATGTAACATAGCCCTGCACGTGCAACATTCTTATGCTCAGTAGTAGTTTATTATTTTTTTTTTTTTAGGTTTATGTTTGAGCATGTTATGCCTTTATTTAGAGACATGAGTGGAAAGAGAGAGAGTAGGGGATGATATGCACATACGCCACACATATGCCACACGCTTGGATGACTGCAGCCTCTGTTCATGGGGCGCTTGCACTAACCACTAGGCTACTGGTGCCCCAGTACTGCTTCATTTAAGTGGCTAAAACAAATATTGTAATTTATACTGATTTATGTTCTTCTTCTTCTTTTAGAGAGAGCCATGTACAGCTTCGAGTGTGCTTTTCACCCTCTGTTCAGTCTGACCTCGGGTACGAGCAGATTGGATTATCTGAGACCAGAGAACCGGTGGGTTGTTCTTTTTCTCCTCCATCTTTGACTCTTCTTCTGAACCCCTTGCGTTTGAAAGATGCCTGTGCAATCGTAGAGTATAGTTGTTGTTTTTTTACCTTAAACATGTCAAACAACAGCTCAATGATACAGTCACCTCTGTTCCAGGGCTTTTTATCTGGCTCTTTACAAACACATGATGTTCCTTGAGAAGAGAGGATGCCCGCGGACCGCTTTAGAATACTGCAAACTGATCCTGAGGTAAAAGGAAGAAGCTTTTCTTTATAATGTATTCATTTCATGGAATTACAACACAAACCACACCCAGTCTAACTAAATATAACTTCACAAGAAAGGGAAAAACAATAATAACCTGCTTTCTTTCTTTTTCAAGTCTTCTTTTGTTACTGATCCAATATAAGATGGGATTTCTGAAATTCACATTAAATGATAAATATTGCACGTCAGACCACAGATACAGTCACAGGGATGACAGCATTTCTAGTTTATCATTTGAAAAAAAAAAAAAATCTGAAACACCTTTCCATTAAAGGAGCTTGTTATTGAAAATATCTTCTAATGTATTCACTGTACTTATCCTCTGGCATGTTAACAGTGTTGTACTATTATAGATATACTGTTATTCTGTTAGCTCAAACAAGCTCACAATGAATTTTGTCAAAATTTCTTTTCAAGAGGGCAAAAAAATCTGTCACAGAAAAAGTATACAGCTGGTAAGATCTGAGGCTATTTTGGGTGATTTTTAATTAATCTGAGTTTCCTTTATATTATTTTCATGACATGTTTTTTAATTTTATAATGAGGAAAACTTGAGCACAGCAAAAGAGGAGAGGAAACATGTTTGCAGAAAAAGAAGAAAGCACGGGGGTACTTTTGACCCTCTGTTCTAACTGCTGTGTATTTAGTTCATTATGAAAGAAAAAAATTATATAAGATCACATGCCTTTCTGCTAAACAAGAAGAAGCCTGTGTTTAATTAAATAAATGTGACGACGAATACTTAGCAAAGATGTACCCCGAAAAAAAGATTTATACATGGAGATACAACTGAACATTTCCAGATCTTCCAAATTCCTGATATTAGCAGTTAATTCATAAAAATGTGTTTATCAGGTAAATTCTTCTTTGAGACCCAACTGATCAAATGTGATATTGAATTAAATGAAAGCCTTAATGTCATTGTATGACAGTGAACATGATTCAGATGGCTGCATCTGGTCGGTGCAATAATAATAATAATAATAATAATAATGCCACAGATAAAACACATAAAGCCGTGAACAGAAACACATAACACAAACTAATGTGAGATTATTTTCCTCTTTCAAAATGTTACTCATGATAACAACATTTACATTTACATTGACAATAAAATTCAGTGTTTAAATCTCAAATATAGAATAAAACCCCCTAAACTGTACGTCTTACATATGGCTTAATGCACTCTTAGATGGTTCTTCCGACACTGCTGCCATCAGCCTGCTATAGTTTTACAGCTTGCTAGTTTAATGGTCATAGCTTATCTTCGACTCTTATCCCACTCGGGCTTCCTGACCTCATACCTGATGTGTTCTGGTCCTTTTGTTAAGTCTGTCGTTTTCCAGCAGTGATTAAACCACTGTTACTGAAAATGAGTGATGCCACGATTTGAATAAAAATGTCCAACATAATATTGTTAAAGCAGTCAAGCCGTCACATGATGATATGTAGCCTACTGTGCTTATTACCATCCTTCTTGCTCTGATCATATTAAACGCATTGTGGTGGCTTTGAGAGGAACCAGATACATTAATAAAGAGCTTAAGTCACATGAAATCACAGTAACATTTTGAGGCGAGCAGACTAAAAACTTTGTGCAAAGCCACTGTATGGTGACCTAAATTGCTCAGCTGCCAAAGCTTCAAAGTTCATTCTGAGAGCAAAAAGCAGGGCAGTGATGTTTTATTTATGGCATCTGGTTTCTGATATCGTCTTTTATTGACACCGAAGTAGAGAAAGTATTGATTTTATTTGTAATTTCACGTGATTTCGGTTTGTTTTTTTATTTTTCATTTACTTTTAGCATCTTCAGGTGTAAACCAATTTATTTTAATTAAAATTTCAGCTGAACAAACATTGCCTTGTTTGAAGGATTGACGTAGTTCCCCATTGGTTCAGTTATTGTCTTTTATGCTGTTCCGGGCTGAAGGTCAGGCTGAGACATTTTATTCAGATATTTGGTTTGTCTGCTTGGATCAAGTCCTTCCTCTAATCATATACTTGTGCTCTTGTGCGCCTCTCTTCAATTAGTTTGGACCCAGACTCTGACCCACTTTGCATGCTCCTGCTCATTGATTTCCTGACGCTGCGCTCCAGGGAGTACCACTCCCTCCTTCAGTTATATCAGGACTGGGAGGTAAAGTTTGCTATCCCATGCAGATGTTTGCATAAAAATGTGTGTGTGATTGTGTCAGCAAAATGTTCCGTCTTCATTCTGATATAGAAAGGGTTTGTTTATGCGTTTCAGGTTCATAGAAATCTCTCTCAGCTGCCAAACTTCGCATTCTCCACCGCACTTTGCCATTTCCACCTCAGTCAACAGGAGGATTTGGATCCTGAAGAAGGTGTCAAACAAAGACACCGGGCTGACGTGATGCTGCAGGACGCCCTCATTATGTTCCCTGGAGGTTAGATCACAGACAGAGTGTTTTTTTCACAATCTTTATAGCATGACTGTAAGGTTTCCTGTAAATCTTTCAAGTTACAATTTCTTCCATATCGGTCAAGTTTTAAGTATGTATACCACTCATAATGGATGTTACTGTTTATATATATTTCCTGCAGTGTTGATGCCTCTGCTGGATCTGTGTACTGTGCAGCCAGACGCCACAGTCACCTCACATGCCTTCTTTGGCCCAAAGAGTCAGATTGGGTAATGTGTGCTCCCTCTGTTTTCTAAACTGTTGACAATCCAGCATTCAATAGCACTAAGACAATTACCCTATTATATACATTTAGCATGGTAAATAAATGATTAAGAAAAAATTAAAGCCATAAAGAAAAACAATATGCAATATTATTTCTTTAAATCTTTTCATTAGCTATTTTAACCCTCCTTTTGTATCCATTCTATCCGTTATCTTTTCCTCCACCTCTTCTACCCTAACTTTGAAACTTTCAACTCATCTCCCTCACTCCTCTTCATGTTTCCAGGCAGCCTCCTGCGCTTGCTGAGCTCACAGCGCTGTATGTGGGGAGGACGTGCAGCCTGTGGAGGGAGGCAGCAGTGATGCTGTGGCTGGAAGAGTCGGTGAAAGAGGTGTTGCGTCGAGTTGATGCCAAAGACCCACTGGTGGAAGACTGCCAAAACAAGTAAGATTTTAGTGAGCTTTTTCATCTGCTACAAGTCCTCACAGTAATGCTCATTACATTAGTGTTCCTTCATCTCTCTGTTTCAGGAGAAAGCAGAGGTACCAGAGTGCTCCGAGGAACATCCATCGTCATGTCCTCCTCTCTGAGATCAAAGAAGCCACCTCAAGTCTGCCTCTTGTGAGAAACCATCCTGAACACAAACTTTCCCCAAACCACTCACCAATAGACACTGGAAATTGATCTGACATAGCATCAAAAATGTTGTCAATTTTACTTACACACTCCTTTGATTAGAAATATTTAAAATACAGAACAGCATACATTAAATCCTGGTTCTATGTATCCCCGTTTTAAAAGGTTGACTAAATGAGAAGATTTTATATACCCAAGCTATATTTAAAATATATTGGGTCATTTTTCCCATGGGGTTTTATTCATTAGGGCATTAAATTGAGCAATCATGTTATCATTACAAAGCTGATCACCTCTGGAAAGCTAATTATCTAATCATCCTTGAGAAAGTGACTCTGATCCTGCTTGTTTGTTTGATTCTTTCAGGAGGTGACCAGTCAGCCTGTGATGGGCTTTGATCCTCTGCCTCCCCTGGACTCAGTGATGTCATACACCCGACCAGAGAGGTAAAGGTCTTCAAATAGTCAAAAAAAAGATGCATTCATTGGGGTTTACAAACCAACAGGTTTGTATCATCTATTTGCCAGTTTACTATAATAGAGTTGCTTTGTGTCTGTGTATTTTTGTTTGTCTGCATTTAGGCAGCATGTTGGTGCATCGAATGAGAGCACATTGTCGCTGTTTTTTCGGTCTTTACTGCCAAACTTCAACCTTCAGGTGAGTTGCATCAAAAAAGCAAATCAGGGGCGCTGTTGGCGCTCTGGTTAGTGCAGTATACAGTGGCCATAGTCCTCCAAGCGTGCGGCCCAGGTTCGAATCCAGCCTGTGGCTCCCTTCCTGCATGTCATTCCCCTCTCTCTCTCTCTCTCGCTCTCTCTCTCTCTCTCTCTCGCTCTCTCGCTCTCTCTCTCGCTCTCTCTCTCGCTCTCTCTCTCTCTCTCACACTCATCCACTATCACTATCCACTGTCCTATCCCTCCAATAAAGGCACAAAAAGCCCACAAATAAATCTTAAAAAAAAAAAAAAAAAAGTGAATCTGAAATAAATTAATCTGTTTAGAATATGCCTTGAATATCTCATAAGATTTAGTTAATTTTGACCTGTCTCTCCTTTTTTATTTTTTTTACAATCTCATTTGAAAACCATTCAAATAAATCCAAATGATACTTTCTGTGAGTTCACTCAAAAAAAAAAAATTGGAAACTTTTCAATATATTTACAATTTAATAACAAGTTTACAATGGAATGAGATCGGTAAATACTTTGAAGATCATATATTTCATGTTACCTTAATGAACTCATTTTATCTCAAAGTGAAAGATAATATTTTTATACTCTTTTGGTCCCTCCTCAACCTGAGGAGCAAAAAATATTGTTGAAGCAGCCTTTATGTCAGTCCTCAGTTATGGTGATATTATCTATAGACATGCCTCTGCTGAGGGACTAAGTTTTATTTCTGCTCTTAGATTCTTAACAAGAGACCCCTATAACACTCATCATTGCGTTCTGTATAACAAAGTTGGTTGGTCTTCTCTGGCACAGAGTTGTGTTAAACACATGTTTCTCTTTATCTCTAAATCCCTTATTGGGCGTAAACCATTGTATATAACATCTCTGCTGAACTGGACCAGTGGACACTACCAAACGTTCTCTACTAACAGACTGTCTATTGCTTCAATCCCGCTGGTTTCTACATTTAGCTTTATCACTCCAAAAGTGTGGAATAATTTACAACACTCTCTCAAGATTGACACTCTTGTTTCTCTTTGACAAATTAAGACAATGATCTCAAACCACTTCACTACAGTGTGGGATTGTTTTTACTGTTTTTGGGATTGAGTATTATCCTGTCTTTGTTGTTTTATTTGTGCTCTTTTCTTGTATCTCGACATCATTGTAAATGATGAAACGTCAATGATCTTTGAGGCTTAAAGAAAGGTTTGAAAAGAAACGGCTTAAAGACCGTAGAAACACATTTACCACATCTTTTACTGAAGGAATATTTCCCACAAAGACAAGTTTGCCTAAAGGGATGACAACTGCAAACTATCAAAGAAGGCATATGACCTTGTTACAGTTAATCACTTCTCACCATCTCCCCGTTTTATTGCACGACAAAACAATAACAACATTCATGAAGTTTGTGAGTAGGACTTTTCTATCCCTGTCCTGAGCTACCTAGCTAGGGTGCAAAAGCCAACGTGTAATAGTATGTTTTCAGGTGGGACTTTATAAGATACTATAGAGGGGGCAGACCTGACTGAGGAAGGAAGGCTCTTCCACAACCGAAAGGCTTTGACTGCAAAGGCTCAGTCGCCTCGAAGTTTATTACACGAATGAGAGACAGCCAGGAGCCCCATGGTTTAAGATCTAAGTGGCCTCGCTATAGGGGCTGAGGAGATCAGTAATATATGAGGTTGCCAAACCATTTAGGGCTTTAAAAACAAACAATGCAACCTTAAATCAATCCTGTAACTTATAGGAAGCCACTGAAGAGAGGCTAGAACAGGGCTGATATGCTACCCTTTCACATGAGGCAGTCAGAAGCCTGGCTGCAGCATTTAGTACCAATTGCAGTTGAGAGAGGATAGGTTTTAGTTTTGAGATGGTTTGTCGCTGAAAGAAACTAGTTTTGACTACTGATTTTACATTCTGTTCAAATGTGAAAGTGGAATCAAATATTACTCCAAGTTTCTAAGCATGTGGCTTGATTAGGGAGGAAAGGTGACCTACGCTGCTTGAGACCTGTTTTATGGCTTCGGAAGGGCCAAGAAGAATTTTGGGCCATCCAGCATTTGATGTCTTCCAGACATTGTGTAAGAGAATTGAAGTCTGATTGATTTCTTGGTTTTCAGGGTAGATAGAGTTGCCTAATCATCTGCATAAAAGTGATAAAAAAATGTTGTGCTTTTACCAAGTGGGAGAAAATAATAAGACCTAGGATGGAGCCTTGAGGGATCCCCCAGGACCGATTGGCTGTAAAAGACGTGGAATTGCCTGTCTTGACTGAGAAAGTTCTGTTTTTTAAATAGGAAGTGAACCAATTCAGGGCGCCCCCTCAAACACCAAAGGAATGCTGGAGGCGATCAACTAGAGAAGCATGATGGACAGTATGAAATGCGCCACTCATCTCCAATAGAATCAGGACAGAACAGAACCTTTAAGAGTACCTCTAAGAATCAAGACTCTGGGGCGCATTGGTTGGTGCGCGCGCCCCATGTATGGAGGCCGTGGTCTTCCGGGCGGGCGGGGCGGGCGGGCGGGCTCCTTTCCCGCATGTCATTCCCTACTCTCTCTTCCCTGATTTCCAACTCTATCCACTGTCATGTCTCTCCATTAAAGGCACAAAAAGCCTAAAAATAAATCTTAAAAAAAGAAAGAATCAAGATTCTGCACAGTAGGGAACAGGCTCGAGGGAGCCGCGGCATCACGTAGCTTCTGCTAGCAAAAAACCCCACATTTAGTTTATCAATAAAACGGCAAGGATACTGTAGGTTGGTAGAGACCACAGCGTAACAGATTCCTGTGTCAGTTTAAAGCAAACACTCACAGTTATGAGTTACGATTCCTCATGTTGTTTCTGCTTTATTCTTCAAATCTGGTACACATAGCGCTGCAGAAGCTGCATTCATCATCATCATCAACCTTTATTTAAGTTCTCGGAGAGATCATTGAGGGCGACCATCATTTACAATGATGCTGACAAAAAACATACATAAATGATAAACAATGAGAAATGAGATAAAGCTACTACAGAAAATAAAATCAATAAAAGAGAAATAATAACAATAAAACAGATACAATAAAATAATTTAAAAGCTTGAAATTACTACAATGATAAGTCAGTAATTAAAATCAAATAAAACAGTTACAGTCAGGTATTGGGTGGTTAAAAATAATATTTCTAAAGTGTCCATAAGGGATAAAAGTGCTCAAATTCAGGTCCTGTTGTAAAATATTCCAGGAGTTTGCAGCACTAACACTAAAAGCAGTTTTCCCCAGGTCAGTCCTGGCATGAGGAACCTGGAGAACCAGCCTCTCTCTCTCGAGCGGGTTAAAAATGGACCAGGGTTCAGATGTAACAAGGAGGTGATGTATGATGGAAGCTTTCTAGTAAGGGCTTTATAGACAAAAAGATGCCAAAAAGATGGTTATTGCGTCTCTCAGTGAGGGAGGCCAACCAACTTTATTATGAAGAATGCAGTGGTGAGTCATGTAGCTATCACCTGTAATGAATCTAAGCGCAGAATGGTAAACGGCATCTAAGGGCTAGTGGAAGAGTCATGCCTATAGACCACATCACCATAATCCAAAACCGAGAGAAAAACTGCTTCAATTATCCTTTTCCGACAGAACATAGGGAAATTTGATTTATTTCTATATAGGTAACCAATCTTTTGTTGTAATTTGACAGTAAGATTATCAATGTGAAGTTTGAATGTTAGTCTGTCATCTATCCATATACCAAGATATTTATAGTCTTTAACTCTCTCGATAATGGATCCTAGCAGGGTGGTAATATGAAGGTTATTATCAGTTTCACATTTAGCCCTAGAAAACAACATCTCTGATCAGCAATCAGAGAGGCAGAGAGACGGAGAAAGAGAGGATCCAATTTGTCTTCACCGGTAAATGTCTTAGGATCTAAGGTTTGAAGAGCCTCTAAAACTACACAGAATGAGACAGGAGATAAGTTAAACTGAGAAGTATGATTTGGAGTGGAAATACAGCCATTGTCAGTGGGAGGAAGGTCAATGCTAGGAGCGGGTTATCTATTATCCATATCCTCAAAGATGTGACATTCATCAACAGAGCTGTCAATCATATACCTTGAGTGGCATCAAATAACTGAAAACATTTAATATTAAAGTAATTTCTCAGATAAAAGGATAAATTTAACACAAAATGGCATGATAACTTTCATGATGGAACCAATATTGAGAAAATGTATCTGACGTCACGTTGATGTCATAGTTTGACCCATCTGTTTACATAGAAGGGACAGGGTTTATTACTATCATGCACCCAGTCAGTAGTGGGAGCTCTAAATATTTTGGCCTCTCGTGAGGTAAGGTATTCTGCTGTCCATTCTTTATACAGTCTCTGGCTTGACTCTGCACATGTTAAAGAGATAAGAAAAAAGAGCAGCAGATGTTTGGAAGTTATCTGCCTGGTTATGCCAGGGGACTTAGATTTTTTTAAAATATGGATTTATTGGTCGATTTATGATGGGAATGATATAATTAGAATTAAACAGTTTAGTCAAAACTATTTTCTTCAGCCAGAGATGAGTGTTTGCTCTTTCTGCTCAATTGCTCCTCATGATGTATTTACCCCTCATGTTCTGAGAATGGACTGTAGATGGCGTAGATTGTGTGAAGGAGGACAAATAGTGTATACACAGAAACCATACAGCCACAACTGACATACAGGAAATAGAGATGAAGAATTATCATATTCTGTCCAAGTATAATACATCCTGATGTATTCATTGCTGACCAACAAAAGCACGAGTTTATTGACCTCCTTCAATAAACCTCCTTCATACTGCCAGTCACAGCTGTTGTACTGACCACTGCAGTGTACAAAGCATGGCATTTTTAAGACTCTAGACTTCAGTTTGCATTGACAGATTGTTATCTCTTATTTACATTCACTGCATGTTTCGTAGAACCATAAAGGTGATCTTAGCCGTGCCTTAAACATATAGCAAGAGATCTTTTGACAACACAAAGAATTTAGAATTGTGGTTAAGTTCTGGACCTCCAAACATACTATCTTTTCACTGTTCTGTATTTTTTGTCATTTTTTTAGGTTTAGTCTCATGATCACTGGGGACCAAATCTATGGGACCTTTCAGCATCTAAAATAGTGCAGCCAATCGTTAGAAGAGCATTTAGGGATGAAGAACTGATTAGCGGTGTGACTCTGTGGTCTTTCAAAGCATCAATGGCTTACTTTCTGTTATGGTCTTTGGCAAAAATTGGAGACAGTGATTGCGTTATTTGTTCGAACAAATGTTAATGCTTAAATGAAGAAATCATGCACCACTTTCCACATGCAACCTTTCTACTATAAGAGCTCAGTGTTGTTCGATTGGAATGTGAAGAGAGAGTATTCTTGGACAGTAAACACTGATTACAACATGTTTATTGGTAAATATGTTCATATACTGTATATGTTATCCAAATTGATAGAGTTTCTTTGGGAAAAAAAAGTTGCATAATGAATTCAAAGGTATCCGGTGAAGTGTTTGACCACAAGTTGTTCCATGGAGCAGTGGGTGTGTCTTTTATGAATCTGGGATGTAAAAGCAGCCGTGTAGAATTATAAAATGTCTGTCTTCCGCATTCCTCAGTTCTAGAAATAAATGATGTGCTGTGCCAGATAGCAATACACCCATCAACAAATAGATCCCCATTTATTATTGTTCAGCATTAGTTGGATGGTCTAAGAGCAACAAATTAACTGAGCTTTTTTAGTATAAACTATAAATACAAACTTTCAAGCATCATTAAAAGTGTAATCTGATAACAACAGACTTAATATTTTTTATAGTGTTCCTATTTTAAAAGGTTATGAATCAAAGATAGCATGAGTCTGGTTTATGTCCAAATCAGGTTAAACAAGGGGACTTAAAATATTTTATGATGTTTATGTTGTTTATAGTTTGGACCCAGTGTATCTTTAATGCTATATAGATATTACCGGTAACATATATACATTTAAACTAGAATATTTTGGTTAGCTTATCTTGTGTTTTTTTACAGTGTGTTTATAGGGTAACACAACTGCTGCTACCTGAAGATGCATATGTTTATTACACCCCCTATAGGACATATAGTGGAGCAGATAGAAATCTTTTTTTCATTAACAGATGGGCTCAAGGCATGTTTTCATCAAAGCAGTCCATCAATCGCCGTTGTCTTACCAACTTATAAAGTAGAAGAGATTTGATTTGGATAAAAGCAATAATGTTAAACCTAGAGAAGATATACAGCCAAGTTCTTCTTTAACTGCTGAGACAGTTACATAAAATCTAGATTGTCCTGATCTTTTTTTTCAACACACAAATGCTACATCTGCATTGTATGTTTTTCAAAACATCTGAATAATTAATAAAATGTTAACAAGTCACTGTCACGCTACTAATAGCCAAATGCTAACATAATAAGTACTTAAACTAGATATTTGTGGAGGAACTGAATTGACTTTTTGTCTCTTTAAGGGTGGACTGAGGCAGGAGGATGACATGGAAGTGGCTCGAGCTGGCCAGGAGCTGAACCAGGAGGTGGATCGTCTGATGGTGGCAATGAGGGAAATGCTGGCAAACATCAGGTTTCAGGAGCCACCGAGAGAAGACAACCCCTACAGAGATGAGGAAGAGTGGGACTAAGAGCGAGAGACTGAGAAGAGAGAGAGAGAGAGAGAGAGAGAGAGAGACAAAGACAAAGGTGGCATTTTATGTGTGATGATGAAGAGGAATCCAATAGACAAAGACATGTAATAAAGTAAAGAACGATTCAAACATTACATGGGGTTTGTTATAATTAAAAAGAAATGGAATGGGACAATGAAACAGTTTGTGTAATTGTGAATGCTTCAGAGTATTGACAGTAAGTAAAAGGAAGAGAAAGAGACAGGCAATCTGCAGTTGTAGCATATCAGAGAGGAGAGGTAGTGAGGTTAAATCATCATGACGCTAAAGTAGACCGTTTTCATGGTAAATCCGTGTTGAGCTGCACTTACACATAATAAATAGGTGTTCCTCTTTTTCCTCAGCTTGCAGAGAGTTCTTCATGCTCACAACCCGTGGACGTCGTTATGATACAAGAACAGCTACAACAACTCTTAGGTTGAGTTCAGTATGTAGGTCTTATCAGAAATTCCAATCTTGTTTTGCATACAAGCTGTATTTCATGCAAATAGATACTGGTTTGATTATGAGCAATACAAGAATATCTGTAGAATCTGTTTTTAAAGAATGGAGTAGTGACCTCTTTTATTTTTGGGCCTTTGTGAATTAATTTATTGGAAAGAAATAGACGTGAAATTAATTTTTGACCTTCTACTGAGATACTGCAGATAAAATTGATTATGTAGAAAGCATTTTTGATGGATTGCTGTAACCACAATCACCTTGTACAGAGATTACTGTGATGAGAAAAAAAAAACATTTAAGTAAAGACATCAAGTAAAGTCTAGTCTTTTCTCCTGCTTATAGCCACAGTTCTCCAGGGATGAGTTCCAATACTGCATTTCAATCTTGTCTGAGAAAAAAGTATTTGGCTACATGGGTAATTATTTGACATTTGTCGTGTAAACAAGCTGAAAATCGGACAAACCAAACCACATTTTCTTCAGCTTTCAGCCTGTTTGTTTCTCTTATGTGAATCTAATCTTTACTTCAGGATGCCTGCTGTCTTTTATCTTCACTGTAATGCCCCCTCTTTCTGGCTCTGTTATGCTCCAATCCTCACATGTCAGTTTGAGATGACATGCCAATATTTCATTATTTATGGGTAAGTCTGCCCAATAAAAAGGCTCGGAGAATTAGCCTAAATGTTTCCAGTGGCCTGCTGCTTTCCATCAAGTCAAATTCAGTCCATGAGTATGGCAGAAATGTTATCAATTTTTCATAAATTAATTAAAAAATGTCCTTTGTTCTCAGTATGAAACTCATGACCTCACTCAGGATTGCTGATCCATTGTCAATAACTCTACTTAGTAACAATTAAGACAGCAGAGTTTCATTTAGATTAAATACTAAAGTATTTTTTAACCAAAGGGACAAACTGGAGACACTGAACAAATACAGTTAAGTCTAAAGAACCTCATGATAAGACAGTTTGACTGTGCCCGACGGTCAATTGATGATGTTCACCGGGAGCTATGGTTAGGTTTAAGAGAGCTGCTCATGTGATCCCTGAGCAGTATAGAAAGGCTTTCATTTCAGGGCCTCAGAGGAAGCTGGGTCTGTGGATCATAAGCTATCAGATGTGTCTCTAATGATGCCACGATGCTGCACAATAAGACGTTTCTGCAAAGTTCATTAAATGTTTACAGATATTGGATAAGTTGTAAAAAAAAAAAAAAAAAAAGATATGTACCACATCTATATCAGCACAGATTATTCCCACCCAACTCGCCAAACAATTGAGAAAAGATTTATGTCAGCTTTTTGTAAAAACACATTAAGACAAAAAAAAAATTGGAGTGCAGTTTTTTGCAAATTTGTTTACGGCTGCAGTGAGATATTATTTCATAATTGATTTGAATGTATCTGCAGAAAAGTCTATTAATGTTCCAGGATTAAAAAGTTTATCTTTTTTAATGTTTTTCTATCTATGAGGACTGTGTAGCTACATACTTTTGAAAAGTAGAAATATCCTGAAATACCCTACCTGTAATAATAATATTAATGATAAAACTATAACTGCAATAATGGATTCCAGTCTTGGATTTTTAAAGGTGCATTTTAAATCTAATACAAATAATAAAAAGTTCTGCGTGTGTTGAACTCAGTACTTGTTTGCATTTTTTCCAAACAGAATATGTCAGATAACTTAAATTAAAGTCTAATCAACGCAGAACATAAATATATCATGGCGCTTCTTCCTCTCATTTTTTTTCAAAGACATTGCAAATATTTCCTGCAGCCCAGCTGACGATTGTTGGAGAGGAGGAGTCGTCCAGCATCACTTTGAGAAAAGTTCAAGCAAGACAGCCTCTTGTTCCCAAAGACACTTTCTTCAGTGTCACCATGCTGGTTACAGAAGTCTGAACTTATACATGGAGTTGTGCGGACGGTTTGGGTGTTTTTCCATAAGAATGAAAAAATGTATAGTAACCGCAATGTTGTGATAGAAATCTGCTTTTTGTGGATCCCGGTGCTGTATAAGTCGCAGCCATAGGACAGAAAGAGCTGTGACGAAGGGGCGCACTTTTCATACGGACGAACTGGTCTGCTGCCGTGCGTAAATGTAACTGTTCCACAACTAGACGAGGAATATTTCACTTTTTTGCAGGAACAATAACACATTTTAATTTAACTTTTCTATAAAAGTTACCTTTGTGGATTATTTGATTTTCGCCACAGGATTTGCTCCATCCAGCTGTGTGACTGAAACAGCTGATGCCGAAGAGCCCTCCAAGCCACCTTGAAAACTGAAAAGAGTTCCCTATCACTTCCACACTGCGTTTTACTTAAACCCATCAGGACAGCATAACAACATCATCTCCGAACAGAGGCCAGACATGGAGATGACCAACAGATCCTATCATAACCCCTCCATCCTCCATGTAGAGTTCAGCCCGCTCAGTGACTATATGGAGGAGAACGACACCAACTCCACCGCCGGGGAGCGAAACTCGTTCAGCTGCGTGCAGGTCCGGATCCCTCAGGAACTCTTCCTTGCGCTGGGGATTATCAGCCTTGTGGAGAACATCCTCGTGGTTCTGGCCATCTTTAAGAACCGGAACCTGCACTCGCCTATGTACTACTTCATCTGCTGTCTGGCTGTGTCCGACATGCTGGTGAGTGTGAGCAACGTGGTGGAAACGATTTGCATGCTCCTCAACGAACATGGCCTGCTGGACGTGCACCCTGCTATGCTGCGTCACCTGGACAACATCATCGACGTGATGATCTGCAGCTCCGTGGTGTCCTCGCTCTCCTTTCTGTGCACCATAGCCGCGGATCGATACATCACCATCTTTTACGCGCTGCGCTACCACAGCATCATGACCACGCAGCGCGCCGTCACCATCATCGTGGTGGTGTGGCTGGCCAGCATCATCTCGAGCATCCTCTTTATCGTGTACCACACCGACAATGCCGTCATCGTGTGCCTCGTGACCTTCTTCTGCCTCACGCTGGTGTTTAACGCCGTGCTCTACCTACACATGTTCCTCCTGGCGCACCTGCACTCCCGGCGCATCGTTGCTTTTAACAAAAGCAGGCGCCAATCCACGAGCATGAAAGGCGCGATCACTCTGACCATACTGCTCGGAGTCTTCATTTTGTGCTGGGGCCCCTTCTTCCTCCACCTCATCCTCATCCTCACCTGCCCCACCAGCCCCTTCTGCAACTGCTTCTTCAAAAACTTTAACCTCTTCCTCATTCTCATCATCTGTAACTCACTCATCGATCCGCTTATCTACGCGTACCGGAGCCAGGAGCTGCGTAAAACTCTGCAGGAGCTGGTGCTGTGCGCCTGGTGCCTTGGAGTGTGACACTGTCACTTCAGGGGGAGAAGTCAGGTCATAAACATTTTGGACTACCTCTACTTCTTCACATTTTAAAGAGGTCGTCGTACACCCTGACTTGTGCGTGCCTGAGCGGACTAACAATGCCCGTTCTTGACACTGTAGTACACAATCATTGACTCTCTACTTAGACTTTTTGACATTACTGTATATCGTGGATCAAACGATATTTCAACGCATAGTTTCTTTGCGTGTTATTTCTTGCTTCCAATGCACGATGAAATAGGCTTTTTGGACATAATTTTTTGAACTATTGCCTGAAAGACATCCCCTCCTTAGAGTTAGTGTTCAGCTGGAGCTGACGAGGGTATTATTTTTGTTCAAACTATACATTGGCTATATTGTCTTCTGCTTATAAATCAACTTAGATTTAGAAAAAAGAAGTGCCCCTTTTCGTTTGTCGAAATGTATCAACTCTACTCTCAATAACCACTGTTGACAAAATGGAAAATAAGTAGGCCAATTTAGCCCAAACCTATGGGCCTATGTGTTTTGTGCCTGCATATCGTTATATGGACTATTGCATGTTCTGTTTCGCCATCCGTCACAAACCGATAGTATCTATATTATAAAGGCCTATGACGGGTTATTTATAGTTGGAAAATAACACGAACAGGAAGTCCTTACATTGAAAGTAATTGGTTAACAGATTGTGTTTGTTTTAGCCATACTATGTATTTTTACGCATGAAAATACATGGACAAATTGACTGCAGATACGCGTAAAAATATACAGTATATCGAGCTATTAGAAATACTTGTTGACTCGCCTAATTATGAAATTAGACTATAGTCAAGTAATGTGTAAATATATCCCCATAATGACTTACGGTCTCGCCTGGTATCAGGCCTGATGCTCTGGGCATCACAGGCTTCATGAAAGGGGGCATATATTAAATGAAATGTGTGGAAGGTTGTTTTGTTGTTTGAAATGTCCGGACAGGAAGTAATCTCTGAAATATTTGGACCCTGATTTAAGTTTTATAGTTCAAGTAAGTGACTGCGTATTAAAACCCCTGGGGAATTTTTGTTAAATAGCCTATCATAAAAAAAGAAGTCAGAGTTATCATGATCAGCCTTGTTGTCAAACAGGACAAATTAATCAGACATTGCTGGTGGATATGTGCTTGTAAATGTTGTCAATAATGCATATATGCATTACCATATATGGTACTGATGTATACTACTTAAATGCTTGCCAGAGTATTTGCTGCTGAGTTTTCATGTGTTCAATGTTATCAGTGAATTCAATCCTTGAAGCTTTCCAGTGTCATTTTCTACAGATTTTGGATGATAAACATTTTGTCTCTCTTTTTCACATAACTTAATGACTTGTTAATTATTAATCTATAGCTTTTGCTGTATTTTTTTCTTGTAACCATGATAGTTGGTACACAAGGTTGTGAATGTACAGGATTGTGATTGTCTTGTTTCTTGTAAGCTCAGTTAAAGCAGTGAGACTGTGGTACTATGCTAAGTGAACTGTGATCAATTTAATACATTCATGCTGTGGGTGTACTGGTAACTTTATAACTGCACTGTGCACCCAATGTTAACTTGAAACTGAGTCAAACAGGACTGTTGTACAATTATTTTATATAAGTTGCCTGTCATGCTAGGTATTATTAATATTCTAGCTGTTGTCTCAAATAAAGAGGCCAACACAACAAAAGTTTAAGCTAAGGTTAATTTGACAACCTCTCCTATGTGTCTCCTCTATCTTCCTTGTGTTGCATGCTGTAAGAATGTTTGGTTTTCAAGTTGTTTTAGGTAGTTCATGACCAATTATTATAACTCAAGGCTTAATTTGCCCACAAATAAAGAGTATGCAGTGTCTACTTCAAACTGTGATGTGGCAAGGTGCCAAAGACAATATAGATAGATAAAAAGATTATCAAAAATTGTGGCTGTTCACCCTTTCACATGTTTCAAAGTCTCTCCTCAGGAGCCTAAAGCAAAGACTATAAAGAGATCAACTTTGTCCTTGAACTTTAACACATGAAACATTATCAATTTTATTTTGCTCCATAGAAGAAAAAATGTGATACAACATCTATCCTCATCACACAGAGGGGCCATTGAGATGAAACACAACAGAGACATTTTTAAAATGTTCTGTTTTTAAACTCATGATCAAGTTCAGTTGCCATGCTGCAAATAACATCATTGACTGGGAGGGGAATTTCCTACTCCATCCTGTCCTCAAGAAAAATGACAAAATCTGAATTAGTTTAAGTCAACCCGGTGCTTAACTGGTGTTTTATGGGTCATTCACATGGGCACCAAACAATCATGATTTAATCTTAGGGTATCAGCACTTCAAGACTTTTCTGCAGGGAGGAGAAGAAACATGTCATGTAAAACTGCCAAACATGCATGTCTGCAATATCCATTTCTCCATTCTTTTTCAGAAATTGTTTGTTTTAACTTTTGTACTGACTCTGATCTTTATTTTATTTTTATTACTATTATTATTATTATTATTATTATTATTTTACATTTTGCTTTTGTGGTTTCAGATGATGTAAACTCTTAGACTGATCTAGTAACAGCTTTGCCACGTATTCCAAGAGAAGAGTCCAACAATATATGATCCAGATTAATGGAAAGTCCTTGTTCAACATGAGTCAGGTCATATTTAGGGTTTCTGCCTCATGCTCTGCTAAATGTTCAACAGTGTTGTGCACATGGTGGATTAATGTGAGGTCTTTGTAAATAATATTACAAATCAATCTAATGTGATTTGGCACGAGACAATTAAAGATAGATTGATAGATTGATTAATTGATTGATGGATCGGCGATCTGTAGGCCCACAGAAAGCTGTGTGTTTTTAAAGGGGATAGTACACAGGTGTGTAATTTTGTAATTTTGATTTGCTTCTTATTTCAATGCATGCAGTTATTTTTTATTTGACCAAAGAACCTTTATTTAAACTATCTCGTAAAAAATAGAATACCTGCAAGGTTGGTTTTCCATACTGTGAATGATGTAGAACTAACCAGTAGATCATGTGACACCTTTGATTGTCAGAGAAACAACAACAAATACATCTTCTGCCAAGATGTGCGTGTATTAGAAACATAGAAGAAATCAAAGTCAGAGCACTTTAGGGACCTTTCTGTTTGTAGAGATACACTCGGTGCAGAAACTGCTGTCAGAGCTCAGGCGGCTCATTGTTAATTAATTACTTAAAGGAAGCAGACAGAAAACTTGACTGCAGGAACTGCTGATTAGCCCACAGGCTTAAAAAAGTGTGACAGTATTATATTCAGGGAGCAGCATGTTTATAGTCAGGGACATGGTCATGACTTCCTTCTTCATTTCTGCACAATGCAGCTCTGTTCACAGGAAAGAACCGTTGCATCAAAACAACAAATGCACTCAAGTTAGAATGATTTAAATAAAGATGAATAAAAACCAGGACTCCGGCCCTAAGGGATAGATATAAATAACGTGGTAAAAAATCCTTTGATGAAAAAATATAATTGTAAGTCCCTGGATATTAATATGCCCCTCCATATAATTGAAAACATTGAACACTGAAGTCATGAAATAGATAACTAAATTGAGAGACATCCATGGTAGCAGTGGTTATTTTTATTATGCAGTTTCAGTAAAGGCTGCAGCCATATTTCAGAGAATTCAATATTTTTTTCTGAGTAGTTGCCTTTTAGCAGGGGAGACTCCTCTGACATAGCTAGTCAACAATGACCCATTTGTGTTTACATTGATTGATCTGGTTAAAAGAGAGATGTGTTTCACTAAGCAGTGGATGTATTATAGCAAAAGTGAGTCTCCTTAACCCATATGATCACAACTTCCAATGAGCGGCATACTTATCAATGATAGTCATCATGATAATGTTTGTGTGAATGTTATTTAAAACAAGTGTTGACAACATTGGTGTTTAACGTTATTTTCTGAGAAGCTGACCCGTACTCTTCTAGGAAGACTGTAGCTGCTGTCAGGGGTATTACATACTGTATAACGTCTTATGCTTTAAAACTTATATCACTTTATTCAACTGCCATTATTCACTCATAAAGCAGCAAAATGATAGTGATGTATTTAGCAACAGGTAAATTGTAGTTCGCATTGAACTTCAAAGAATCTGTGTAAGATAAAAAAAAACACCTAAATCAAATGTAAACACTGGGATACAGCATTCAGACAAAATCACATATTAATGAAATTCATTTAAACCAAAAATACTATTTGCTATAAAGAGTTGTAATTTTTTTTAATGCGTCGCTCGCCATCAAACAGGAAGTATTTTTTTCACAGGCTTAACATAGTCACACTGTGAAACTTCATACATATAATCCTGGTGGTAAAGTCAAACATCTTATACCGTTTAAGTGAGTGGGCGTGGCTTAATGGCTCAGTGGCGCCCCCTACAATATTTCAAACATTCAGCCCTCGCAGCACGTTGAACCTACAATTCTGAACTTTACTATGTGTATCCACCTTGACAAAACCTACAAAAAAGCCTCTTCAACCCACGCCCAAAACTCAACAGGAAGTCCACAAATCACATCGCCATCAAACAGGAAGTGGCTGTAACTCTTATATACTTTGTCTGATCTTCTTGAAATTACATAGGTATGATCAGGGTTGGCCTCTAAACACAGTGACACAAAACAATAATAAAGTTTAACCATAGCGCCCCCTAATGCAAGGACTAAGTACTACATCATACATACTTTCTTGGATCTGCTTAAAATTTCCCAGGTATGATCAGGGTTGGCCTCTGAGCACATTGCCATAACAATAGTCAACTTCAACCATAGCGCCCCCTACTTTAAGGAATAAGTACTACATCCTATGTACTTTGTCTGATCTTATTAAAATTTCCCAGGTATGATCAGGGTTGGCCTCTGAACAAATTGACATAACAATACTGAACTTCAACCATAGCGCCCCCTACTGCAAAGAATAAGTACTACATCCTATATACAATGCTCAATTTCCTCCAAATGTCATAGCTATCATGACAGAGCCAGCCTGAACTGCTCTAGGTCAACATTTTCTGTGATCTTCATTACGTTGCCTATTTCAGCATACCACAGTACGACTTTTACATAAATCGGACTGCATGGTCTGCTGCTTAGCCATGTTCTGCTGCTGCTGCACTCCCGCGGTCGCTGCACACCCCAACATGCACAGGGGTGCGAGGGCCCTCCATCAGCACTTGCAGTTTTAATTTGTAATTGTTTTTTTGTCTTATAACTCACACAAGTAAAATGAGTGATGAAAGTTAATTATTATTAATATTATTATGATTATGATTAGTAGTAGAAGTAGTCATTATTTTGACATATGCTAAGTATGGGTCTACTGTCACCCATTCCATCCAACCCCATCCAACTGCTACCAAGGAATCCCTTTGCCATTATAGAAATAAATCAATGGTATGCATCAGCTAAAGAAGATCCCCCCCTATCTAGGCTATACAATCATGTTACAGTAGTAATTGTAGAGAGTACCACCACGTACTGGTCAGACACAGGAGCACATTCAGTGCAAGACTGATTTCCCCACAATGCACCACAGATCGACACAGGAGGTCATTCCTGCCAGTGGCCATCAGACTTTATAACTCCTCCCTCTAAGAATCACACACCCGGACTCTGGATTATTATCCTAGAAATATTTATTTAACCTGGACATATTATTTCACTCTGAAACTGTTCAATCTGTCTGCAAACTGGTCAATACACTGTGCAATATCTTTACACCTTTACAACGTGCAATATCTGTTTAACACAGTTCATCTTGTACATTCATAATGTAAATATTGCTTTATCTTATATATCCTAATATTGTAGCCCTACTGGGTACTTATTGCTTATTTTATTGCTTATTTTATTACCTCTATTCTATTTTATTTCCTACTGCTGTATTGTGTGAAGAGCAATGGTAAAACCGAATTTCCCCCTGGGATTAATAAAGATCCTCCTTTTTAACAGAAAGACTCAACTGTAAGTTTTTCTACAACAACATTATCGTCATATTAGAAAATAAACTCATAATAAGTCATGATGCAGAGGCGTTATGTTTCCAGTTAATGTTATTAAGCACCAATGATTTTTTTATTAAAAAATAATTTAAGAACAAATGTCAGAAGGAATGAAAATAAAAGCTTTATTTTGGCATATTCATTTTAAGTTACGACTGAAGAATTTAATTTTGAAAAGCCTAACCGGATATTGACATGTAAACACGGCGTGACTTGACGCTGTTTACCTTGTGATGCTGCTGTTGATGACAGACAGAATAACACGGTTGTGTACTGTATATATTAACCACGAGTGTGGACTTAAACTTATCTTTACACTACCGTACCTCCATGAAACATCAGGTCAACAACGAGGTAAGCTACACACCACAACGAGCCGCTGAATGAGCAAAGTTAGCATCGAAACACATGCTTTTAAAGGTAGTTAGCTAGCAAAGGTTAGCTGCCTGTGACATGTTTGTATAGATGTTCTCTTTATGGCTCTCATGGTTATATTTGATACTCTAGCTACATGTTAAGCAAAATAATAATACTCAAAGCATAATCGATGCTGCCCCTTTAATAGTGGAGCCTTAACTGTGTTGTTTTTTTGTCTATGAGGGTCGCATTCAGTCTCATGTTTTGCAGGCTTTGCAGTTTTTCCTGCTCGTCTAATACTAAAAGCAAGCTATGTTATAAATGTATGTATGTTATCATCATTATTTAGCCATGTGAGCCTCTTGTTAACCATGATCTGCAGCCAGCTAAATGGGGGTGTTGTGTCATTATTATTTTAATAGTGCACATTGACTTTTGTTGGAGGGCTGTGATTATTTTAGTTGTCATTGTATTTCAATTGACACCCCTTCTCAAGTGATCATGTTAACAAAAGGGTTTTTTCTCTTACCTTTTTTCATTGAGATCTATTGCAGACCACTTGATGTATTGATAAGAATTAAAGTTATCTCAAGTCCTTGTTATGGTTATTAAAAAAAAAGCAAGCCCTGTTTTTAAATGAGCTGTGGATCAGGGTTTAAGGCTCTTAACTTTCAAAAACCTAATCCAATATAGGCAAAAAAGAGAATAGTGTTCAAGTCTAATCAGCCCATGATGCAAGTTGTATAATTTTTTAGGGTCAGGGTCCATATTAGCTTTGTAATGTGGGGGAAAATAACCCCATGAAACAAAGGAATGTTAATAAAGCTGTGTTGTAACCACCAGGTAGAATTATGTGTTGACTGGTGAGCAGAGACAGAAATAAATGAGAACTGAACAGAAATAAGCAACGACCATGCTGTTAGCCATGATAATTCTTCCTCCTTCAATTTGTTAAACACAGCAGTAGATAAATGAGCCAGTGAGTCTTCAGTGTGCTTTGTTTTCCTTAGATGTAGCCTATGAACATGGCTTATGATGAGAGACTTGCACATTTCCGCCAAACCCGCCTCAATCCCTTTGACCGTGGAGAGGAAGAAGATGGTCTCCATGAAGGCAAGACGCCCCCACAGCATGGTAAATGTTATCACAGGACACTGTCTTCTAAATTGTGGAATATGACCTTCCCTTAAGGTGACGTTCACAGTTTAAGTTAAGGGGAAATTTAAAAATATGATATGGCTCCGATGGCCTGAATGTGTGTGTGGCCTGCTTTGGCAAACATCCATCCTTTTCATTTCCATTTCAGTCGTCTGCTATGCTTTAAAAAGATGTCTGCTTTTGTAGACTGTAGAGAAAGCCAATTAATGGTGGATTTGATCAGTAATTGTCTGTAAAAATGTCATAAGGAAATAAACATACCCAGATGTCCTTGACCCACTGTAGGAACATTTAGATAAGATAAAATATGTTATTGATCCTTGATGGAAACAGTTGAATAAAATGCCCATTATCGAGATGTAAGTATTTGCTTCACTGTGAAGATGGGTGTATTTCTGAATAGTTTCAGCTATTTTAAATGTACCGGTAACTAACTTGTAGTTTCAAACTTGCTTCCAGCGCCGAACACACTGAGGAAACTATGATCTTAGGTTGTTTTGCGATGGCTCAATCGCTATGCAGGTCAGGGACCCCACCCCCACCCCCCTTATGAAACTGAGTTTGATCAATCAAATCCCTTAAAACTTTACACAGCTTCATCTGTTCTGTATTTGTTAGATCCTTGTCCACTAAGAACAATAACATTGAACTATGGTACGTTTATGGAAAAAGGAAGAACTTAGGCAGAACCAGAGGAAATGAAAAACATTACTGTGAGCACTTCTCCAGTAACATTTCCTGTATTTCATGTTTCAAGGAATTGAAACATTTCTGCTTGATTAAAATCATTGTAAATGTGCGAGCCTGACACTCGGCTGATTTCTGGTCTGTGTTTCCCTATTTGTTCTCGCTTTGAGGAGCTATATGCATCCATCATGTTTTGCTCTGAGATCTATGCAGGTAACTATTACAATGATCTGCACATATTCAGTAAGATTGAGAGTAAAGTTGTTAACGTGGTGGTTTACTACGTGTCATTTGAAAACTGAAAGTGTAAGTCTTGTCTGATATTGTTTAATTTACTCTTTAATTTTTTAGATAATTAATTTTACCACATATCTACCTTTATTCTGATAAGTTGAGTTTAGTAATGTCAGTCTGATCAACCTGAACAGAGTGGCTGTCAAGTTTTATTTTGGCACAACATTCTATTTGACTTCTGTTGACAATGTACTTTACATTGTGTTCATGTTTTTCACTGTGTTGTCTTCCTTTTCCTTTCTATTCCTTTTTGTATCAAAGGCCAGGAAATGTAATCCTCAGAAAAACAAAACTATAGACAATACTGCAGACTGATCAGAGTTTGTGATTTACCAAGATTTTTATTAATCAGTATTTCGGTATTTGAATTTAAAAAAGAAAAAGAACTGAGAAGAGATTTAGCAAAGTGTGTGCACTAAAAGAACAAGTCTGCAATTCAATACTGGAGCATTTAAAAGCTTGAGAGATGAACGTCTGGATGTTTTCTGTGGCTTCACTTTTGAAACCTAGAAGCGACTTCCACTTATTATACCGCCAAAGTTGTTCATGCTCTGTTACCATATTGTAAAATAACTTAATGCAGCTAATACGGTCACAAACATCAATTAAAGCAAGTTCATCTCCATTTAGTAACAATGCTATGCACCCTCTAACACATGTCTGGTTTGTGTAAATATCCTCACATTGTGATGTTCACTTAATTTCAAACTCAGAATCTTAAATACATCTGTGAAATATTGCACATTAGTACAAAATGTATCCACATTTCACTTTGCTAAACCAATTGAAATAGCACTCTTAATCTGTACTCTGCCAAAGAGTATTATTCAACAGAAATAGTCGAGAGGAGAGAAGTCGTCCATTTGCAGCAGACGAATGTGATTGGATTTGTGTTATTGATTGTTAAGAATATGAAGGATCATTTTACAGTATAGGGTTCAATTTCATCCTTATCAGGATATGAGCTTTCACACTGAACACATCGCGGTAGTCAGAATTTATCACAATATTTTTTCCAAAGAAAGTTATGCTTCTAACTCAGCATGCTTACATTTAACCTATTTTGGATGGGAACCTGGGCATACTATCCGTGCCTTCACACCATCTGATGCAGTCAAATGAAGCTTAAGATAGCTATGAGCTGCCCTCAGATTAAGAAGTGATCATTTATCAGTGAAAAGAAGCTTTTTTGTGCACACAGGAGAAGCATGTTGCAAAAAAGGATACATATTTTAAAAAATTATATTGCAATAATATTCAATGTTTTTACGCATTTTTTTCTAATGTCGTGCAGGCTTATTTAACAGCCAATCGTGAACAAACATTTTCGTCTGAAACCAAGGTGGTCAGAACTTCAGCTTTCATTCAGCTTAGTGAGTCGCAGTTTTAATGACACAATAGGCGTTTGTCTTGTCAGGTGACTTGGTTAAACATTACCAGAACTGATAGGAATTTTACCTTCACAACAGATTCTTTCAGTTGTTCCTTTTGTGCTTCTTTTTTGTTGTTGTGGATCTTCTTCACGTCTTCAGTGTTGAGTGAGAGTTTAAGGGTTGTCTTCTGGAGTAGCCACGGTCATGTGTGTGTCATTAGCATGCATGGCTGAGTGCACTTAGAAGACCAGCTATGTACGGTAACACTTCTTTATACAAAGGTTCCTGCTTTTCAGAATCAAGGCCAGAGCTGTTCTCTGGGACCAGAACCCACAGCTCAGATCGGACCATGGACCTGGGGCTAGCTGAAGACCACTTCTCAAGGCCTGTGAGTAAAGCTTTGTACATGTTTTAGTAAATCTACTCTGTCATTCTTAAAGTGTTTCATATTGTATACATTGAGAATACATGCATACTATACTGTTGTTTTTGTTTTCAGGGTTCATTTGTGGCCTCGGACATTGAACAGCTCAAACGGGCCATAGAGGAGTGTAAAAAACTGATCCTGGAGCTGCCAGAACACTCAGAGAGACAGAAGGACACTGTGGTGAAACTCATACACCTTCGTCTCAAACTGCAGGAGCTGAAGGTTGGAGCATGGGAGGGAATAGAGAAGAGGGTTACATGATATTGTGTCTGTGAATGTTATCAGAACAAGAACATTCATAACTGATCCATTTCAGTCGCATGCTTTTGATTTTGTGGAATCATTTTCACAGTTGCTTGGAGATAAAAATCCATCACTTTAAGCATGTTTTTCATTCTGTTTCTGGAGAGGCATTTCTTAAACGTATGTGTATCAAGTGCATTTGGAAAGTATAGCATTAAGGGCTTAAGTATAATGTGATTGGTACAACAGTTTAGGAGGACATTTGAGTGATTTCCCTGCTGCCTAAACACCACCTGCCACCTTAAATGGACATGACAGCTAGGACAAAGGAGTTGAAGTGGTAGAGAAACTTTAAGCAGGTCTTTTCCTGTAATACATGGAATAAAAGTGACTAATATTTCACTAGTATACTAAAAAACGCTGACATGTAGAGAAAACCACATTCGACTTTTAGATTACTGGAGCTGTGAGCTAAGGCTCCCTTAGTCTCAAACTGCAGCTTATAACACATAAGTGAAGTCCAGGTTGTGAAGTCTTTTCTTATGCTAACAACACATTTAAGGTAAATACTTTCCTTATTAGATTAATGCTGATCTTATGGCCAATGCCCTGAAAGAGATAAAAATCACAGCAAACATCGCAGCATTCATGGACACAGGTTAGGTGATAAGAAAAAAAAACAAAAAAACAATCTTTGTTTGGAGATCAGCAACATCCTGCAAAACCTTCTTGTATTTTAGCAGTGTCTGTTTCTTGAGAGTTTTGATAATTAGTGTATCATTACTAGTGTTTCGGGCTATACAAATTAATGACTGTGGAGTTATGTCTGGAATTGAATGCATATTTTAGAAAACAAAATGTCACTTCAACCACTGAGCTTGTTTAAAAGGGTTAAATCCTTTCTTTTATAGATGACATTAAATCAATTAGGACCATATCGTGTAAAGGAAGCTTCATATAAGATACATCAGTGTAGTCTATGTTACATAATATTGTTTTGTTACATTGCGTGAGTCAACTTGAAAAGAGAGTCTTTGATGCTTCTGGAGAATCATACAGAGACAACAGAAGGATTATGATTTTTCTTTAAATATAATGAGTTTGTCTCAGATCACAGTTTTAAAGCAAATACACACCACTCTATCAATAACTTAAACAACTTTAAACTGACTGTTTATGCTCTAGGTGAATTTTGTTCTTGTGCCCTCAAAGGACCCTGAGGAGGATGAGCCCAATCTACGGACTTTACTGGAGCATCGATTCTCAAAAGAGAAGAGCAAGAGTGTGAAACAGACTTGTGACAAGTGTAGCACTATCATCTGGGGCCTTATCCAGACCTGGTATACCTGTACAGGTGAGATACACTATCCAATGATATCACTCCACAATAGTTCTATGGAGATGATGTAGTCCCAACATTATGAAACACCACGTTTTACAGGGAAGTCGATTTTTTAAAGTCACACCAATTTTTTCACACGCTAAAAATCTGCTGATTAGCAAGCTCAGTAGCTCTCCCTGTGCTTTTAGAGTTGCTCCCATGCTTTCAATTTGGTTAATTGTTTTATATTGCCCGAGGTTCAGTTCATTTTCTCAGAATTGATTTTCTGAGTAGTGGAGCTTGATAGTGTCTTTGTACTGCTCTTTGAATCTGTTACCAAGACATTCATATCCCACACACAAAAATATCATACCATGTGATTTTTTTTTTCAGGTTGCTATTATCGTTGCCATAGTAAGTGTATGAACCTGATCATCAAGCCCTGTGTAAGGTCAAAGGTCAGCCACCAGTCAGCGTATGAGCTCAGCATCTGTCCTGAGATAGGACTGGACCGGCAAGACTACCGCTGTGCCGAATGTCGCACACCTATTTCACTGAGTGAGTAGGAAATGTACTGTGTTGGTTTCTGATCTGAGAGTGAAAATATGGAAGCAGACGCTGTGATGAAGTGTTGAAGGGATTATAAAACAGACTTACTGTTGCTTCTTCATGACGCACAAAAGCAAACAAGACTATCAATAATATGATTGTCTATTTCTTTATAGCTAGATCTGATGCTTGTCCTTTCTGGCAGGAGTTAATGTCGGACAAGCTGACGCTTCAGGTTGTTGATATTTTCTAAAGCAAATATTCACAGTAAGTGATCCATTTGACTGTTTAAAGAAAGCAGGATGAGATTTCCTTTTTTTTTTTTGGAAAATACTTCCTACTCATGTAGTGGAAAAGATCAGCAAATAAGTAAGATATTTTTTACACTTTGTCCACTGGGGGCGACAAAAATCAACACGAACCAAAAGTTCCTCACAGGAGTTTTGAATTTGGATATAACAAATTTCCTTTTGGTTGGTATGACTAAGTCTGCTCTCTTAGCTTAACTTGTCCTATACATGTGCAAATAGTTTTCTTTAACAAAAAAATCTCCTGCCGTCTTATTTATTGTCTAATTTATCACTCACTGTGAATGTTGCCTGGGAAAATGTAAAAAAAAAAGGCAATTTTTTTGTTTTTAATTGCATCTATGACTGCAGTTTAACAGACAGAGCTGATGCTCTTCTTTGCTGTTGTGGATTATTTAGAGGCTTCAGTATTCATTTCGGTCTGTTTCTGTCATATAAAGCTCCTCACAGGAGCTGTAACCAGGGTGTTGCATCTTGCTTCCCTTTGTTTCACAGTTCGTCTCGCATATTTATTTTCTAGGGGGCGTGCCAAGTGAAGCCAGACAGTGTGACTACACAGGCCAGTATTACTGCAGCACATGCCACTGGAACGACACAGCCATCGTACCAGCTCGGGTCATCCACAACTGGGAGTTTGAACCACGAAAGGTACCCTGAACCGCCACCAAGAAATACTCTGAATATATTCACAATACAATAGTCAGTCCATCTTTTATGTATGCATCTGTGAGACGTCATGGTGCCATTTCATATAATATCATATTATGTCATTTTATATTTTAAGTTACTCTGTGTAATTCTGTCATCAGCAACCGTCCCAAACATCAGAATTACATTAGGGAGGTCAATTTGACAGTCACGAGTGCTACACAGTCTAAGTAGGTTTCTTGTCTTGTTTCTAATGTTGTTTAAACATAAATGAAATTAAATCATATTTCCATAACTAACAAAAATGCCTCTTTCATGACGGCCAATTAGCAACCGACCAACTTTCAAGGTCAATCCAGGCTGGCTGATACACACAGACTGTACAAGCTGTCTACTTATGTAGGTTTGACTTTATGATGAGGCTGTTCATTTTGGTTTGCTCCAAACATGTCTCTGTATTCTGACCGCACGTCTCTTTCCCAGGTTTGTCGGTCCTCGATGCGTTACCTGGCCCTGATGATGTCACGACCTGTGCTGAGGCTGAAAGAAATCAACCCACTGCTGTTCAACTTTGTGGAGGAACTGGTCGAGATCCGGGTACACACATATTTTAACTTTTTTAGAGGCACTAGAGACCTCATTGTGGAGAAGGAATTACAGATATTCATAGTGAACATAAGAAGGCTAACGCTTCCAAGACGCACTAAATTCTCTCTCTCAAAAATAAAATAATGTAACTTATATTGATGTCACAGTTTTTGGAACCCATTTATGGATTTCTGCTAGCACATGCAGTGATGAGAAATGTGAAACCTACAAGAACTATTGGCATGAAGTGCAACTTAGTTCAACATTGATGTGTGTGTGTTACTTTGTGTGTCTTTGTCACAGAAACTTCGACAAGACATTCTGCTGATGAAACCTTATTTCATTACTTGTAAGGAGGCCATGGAGGCTCGGCTATTACTACAGGTCAGAAACTCTCCACATTATGTACTCAGCAGTCAGCACATATTCTCTGCATGATCAAGTTTAAGTGTCACACAGACATGATATGACTATTAGACACCACTGAGTAATATGTTACAACAGCACCATCATCTGGTGAAAGTTGAGTATTTGGGCTGCATTGAAAAAAGGTTCCTGATGTAAGATTGAGACTTTAGCACTTTTCACACATGTACACAACTCCTGCAATTTTCCCAAAGATTTTGGGGTGAGCTGAATGTGTGAACACAAACAGCCGTCTGGAATGTTTCTTTCCCTGCATAGAGTCAGGGTGAGCCTTTGTGAGAACACAGCAGGTAATATTCAGGAATATGAATTGTGAGCGGGAGGAGGTGATGAAGTCTATATCACAGGGACGGCATGTTGACTGATGTGATCTTTATGCATGTAATGAAGCTGCTGCATTATGTTTTCTGCTCGGCAGTTCTTCTACTCTCGTTCATTCACACTGTGAATATGTCAAGTTACACTTAGCATCGATATAAAGGTAGAAAGAGTCATTATAGCGTCAGACTCTGGTGGAAAAATGTCCTGCAATGAGGGGGCGTGATCAAGCAAAAAGCTTCAGGAGCTCAAGAAGTTTGTACATCTGCACAATACTCGACTTGGTCGCTGTTGTTACATGTTCTGTTCAAAAAAAGTATTTTTTGTTCTATATTTTCACAAAAAGATTTAAAAAAAACTATTCTAGTCTATATTTTGTCCAGCGGTGTGCAGGTTTGATATGTTTCATTATGCATTATTTCATCATCATCATCATCATCAATAGTTTTCTTTGTGTTTCACAGCTTCAAGATCGGCAGCACTTTGTAGAGAACGATGACATGTACTCATTGCAGGATTTGATCGACATTTCCAGTGGCAGACTCAGCTGCTCCCTCACAGAGATACACACCACATTTGCAAAGCACATCAAACTTGACTGTGATGTGAGTTCAAAGTCAAAGCACAAAGAAAATACAAACTTTTATTTAAGGAAGTGTATTTCTTTTGTATGTATCACATGTAACTTCATGTTATGATTTTTACTATAAAGTAATAGACACTTTTGACAGCTGGATTATTGTCTAGAGTGGAAAACATATATGCCTTTCTGAAAACCTGACTTTCTGTTATTTTTTGTCTGTAGCGTTGTCAGGCCAAAGGATTTGTATGTGAGCTGTGTAAAGAGGGAGACATCCTGTTTCCTTTTGACAGTCACACCTCGGTCTGCTATGACTGCTCTGCCGTCTTCCACAGGTCAGTCATCACCACCAACATGTCAGACTGAATCATACAGACTGTACATTTACAGGAACTGTAATGTTATGGTAAATGTAATGTAACTGGTCCAAGAACACAAGCCTCGGCCCTGAATAAGTATTTATTCCCTGCCTCGGTGAAGCTGCATATTATCCCAAAGACACAGCGGTATAATCTGCATATAGTGAAATAAACCAGACATGAATGAGTTTGTTCGACTCAACACACTGATTGCAGCAATACAGTCAAACTGTCCTAACACTAAAAATGAAATGTATCTTTGTGATTGTTATGTGTCTCTTCAGAGATTGTTACTATGACAACTCCACAACATGCCCTCGATGTGCTCGGATGACCGATCGCAAGCAGGACGACGAGTCAGATGTGAAAGATGCTTAAGTCTGAAGACGACGGCAGGATGTTGCACTTTGCCTGGTGTTGTTCTCTGCTCTGATTGAGGACTAGCTTCCCGTCTTGGTTTGTTTTGTGCATTGGTTTAGACTGTGGCGTCTTAATGTTACTGGGTTAACCATAATGAAGCAGGGTACCCAAAAGCCCACTTGAAAATTAATATAAATGTATTTTTTATCAAACTTTTTACATCATACTGAAATTGGATGAACTGAACACTGTGTATGTGTGTTTGTGTGAGTGTCTGCTGATATAATTGTAAAACATAAATGACCTGTTAAGACAAGCCACAATATCAGTAGGTGATTATGCACGTTACAAATCTCGGCTGTGATTACCTATACTGCCAACTTAGCTGAATAGTTAACCATAAGGTTATATATATATTTAGTCAGTGCTTTTAAGTTTTAAAAACTATAACTATATTTACCAGAAATCTGCATTTCAGCTACCAAATGTATATTTTTCTTTAAGAAAATCCTGAGTGAGCAACCTTGCACTTCCCTGCAATTTACAAGCATCAATCTATTGTTCAGTGTTAGTTAGTTTGATGCAGAGTGTGTAACTAGTTAACAGTAAGACACTGATTCAAACTGATAGATGATATGATCATAACTTCACTTTATTTTTTTCTGCTCTTTAAACATTCCATTATCAGTTCCATCCCCGTTAAATCACAGTTCCCTAAAGCAGCATCTGTTCTCCCTTCATTTGTGTTACCTGCCTTTTTCTTTTCAGTCATATTCTGTTGTTCGGCTATAATTGTAAAAGTTAAAAAATATATTTTCAGGTTGTGGAGCCATATTTAAATTCCTCTATTAAGTTATCTTGTAGTGAAGGCATGAGATTTATGAAAAGCCAACATGGATACTAAAAAAAACAAAACTTTTACGGCTTGCAGTTATTTGACAAAAAATGTGCAAATGAAAACCATAATGTGAAATATACATACCCGGAACATATATCTGCAACAGACAAAGCATGCATCATCAGTGCATTCTCTAGAGTGTAGAACCAGTTAACAAAAAGAAAATGTGCTTTCCTTGTGTTGAATACTGTGAACTCCTTGTAGTCAGTCTGATCTGTCTTTAGTCAGGTTCAGTTTAGTGCACTGTGTAACAAATCGATGTGAATGTTGTGTGCCTCTGTTTGTCAGGTTACTTGCAGCTGTTAAACAAGCCTCTCAGTACACTAACCATCATGTTAATGGCTTTAGTCTTAAAGTTCCTCTTGCACATGATGTTGATCATGTTCAGAGATAACAAAGATGCTATGTGACACCTTTGACCATGTGTAAAAGTTGAATTAAGTATTTGTTTTAAAATAATCAGTTTTGGCTGTGTTATCTTTCAGCATGATGCATTGTATTTTTTTTTTTCATTCAAACTAATGGACAGATATGGCTTCTGTAAGAGCCATGCCCTGTTAGAAATCATGGAGTAATGCATGAATAAATATATAAATGCATTAAAGCTGCAGTGTTGTGTTCAAGTTCTTTTATAGAACAACATTCATACATACAGCAATACAAAGTGCTTTACAGAGTTTTAAAAAAACCCATGATATTAAGAGCATTAAAGGAGACGTGAAGTTAATCAAAATTAAGACATTCTGAAAAAGTATAAATAGTAACAGTAAAAAGAAGTCATACAAATGCTATTTATATAATAACATAAGATCACTTACAAAGTCAATAAAAAGCAATCAAAAGAATTAAGTACGAGTAGATCAGAGGTTATTGAACGGATGGGACGGCAACAAAAAAAAGTTAAAAGCAACAGATGTAGAAAGCCTTGGGATTCCTGTTAGCGTATTCCACAGTTTACTAGACTGTAAGTGTGCAGCCTGGTTACTTGTTTCTGGGAATAATGAACAATGAACCTGTCCCAGAGGACCTGAGGGGTCTGGATGCCTCATAACGGGAGAGCATGTCTGAAAGGCGTTTTTGGACCAGGACCATTTAGTGTTTTATATACAAGGATAATCATTTTAAAATGTATCTGTTGATTCACAGGACGACAGCGTAGAGATCTGAGGAGTGGTGTAATGTGATTGACTGTCTTGATGTGGCTGAAGGCCAGAGCCTTCAGCCACATCAAGACAGATTGACAAATTAGGACATTATGGACCGCTAGGGTTACATGTGTAAAAGTCTGCTTTTTTGAATCAGCGCAAGAATACTAATTAGACATATCTGATTGTCTTGTTACTAGCAGGTAGTCACTAAATATAACATCCCTTGTTTTGACTGAACCATGACTGTGCAAGAGAAATGTTTATTGTCGCTGTGAACACGGCTCTTCTTCAGGATCTTCCTCAATTCTCTGACTTGACCTCTTGGACCCCTGCAACCCTCTCCCACAGGACAGTTTGGTAATATGTCCATGTTCCTATAAATAAGATTTGTTTTTTGACTGTCAAAAACAAAGGACAGGATATCTACACAACAAGCAAAACATATTAAATAATTTGCAATGCTGTGAACAGTGAGATCACTGTCATGATTTGTTCTTGATCAGTTCTGTAATTTGTTTATTTCAGTGTTTAGATTTCCTTTCCTGTTATATTTTGTCTCTTTCCTTCCTGCTCTTGCATGTTTCCCTTGTGTGTATTTTTATTGTATCATTTCCATGTTAATTCCCCCACTGCAGTAGTTTTTGACTTGTTGCATTTTTTTACACAGCCTCTGTAAGAGTAAGTTTTTGCAATTGTGTTTAATAAAATCCTTTTTTCGTTTGTTTGCTGCACTTCTTTCTTTCTTTTTTTTCATGGGTAATGAAAATGACATTATAAACCTGGAAGGAAAGTCTGTTTTACTTATTGAAATAACTACTATTTGCTCCACTTCTTAAACATGTCTACTTGTGAATAAAGATTTTAAATAATGCTGGTAGTGTTGATTTTTTAATATAAAACAAACTTGGTCCAAGTAGCCTAGGCTATAAAATATGTAAAAGGGTGTTATTTTTGGGACAAAACACTTACTAACACACATTAAAGTTTATTTTCTTTACTAAATGTTTGACCCATAATTGGGTAAAGGATGAAAAATATCCCACTTTGCTAACTTCTGAAGTGGCCTGGGGGTCTTGCAGTATGCAGCGAATTCATGTCTACGTGAGGATTGGTCGTGGACTTGGACTTCCGCCAATTATTATGCAAACACTGTGCAGGACGTCCTGTCATTGGAGACAATTTCAAATCCATCCACCATGAAAAACAGAATAACACAAAGCTTTTAAGTAACACGCACTTAAAAAATGTTCATTAAAAAAGAAACCCTGGTCACTAAAAGACAGCTGCACACACTGAACCCAGTGATCCCACTGTAGTGATCCCACTGTTGGTCCTCGAAGAGCAAACAAAAACAAAACCAGGTTACATCATCCCTTTTGTATCAGAAAATAACCTCCCCGGCTCTGTCAACGCGCTAACATCTCATTTAACAGGCTTTTGTGACTTAGTATGGCACACAAGCCCAGAACTGTGAGAGAAAACAACTTCTAAAATCTAAAATTCCTCGTTGCTCTTTTGTAACAGAGATCTCGCGAGATTACAGGCTAATACTGTTGGCACTGGGTGTATTTATTTTGCTCCTTCTGCAAGTCGTCCAGTGAAGCAGAGGGAAGGTAGCAGAAGTGATGGGTCTAATATCTTTAAGTGTCGGACCTTTAAGGAACCGGGTCCGGACGCTTCGGTCGTGGAGCAGAGACCTATCTACATTCTCGGCCGCTTTTCGTAACACTGGAGTTCTCGCCCCGGTAAGGTTACACTTTGTTTTGTTCTGGTTTGTTCTGCAAACCACTTGGCAGCTTCTCGGTGGGGGGGAAATGCATTTTTTTCTGTTACAAAAGCTACGTGTAATGGAGTTGTTAAACAGTAGTCTGCATTAGCAGGAGTGATATTCGACTGGATTTTAGGTCTGTCGTGTAAGGACACAATGTTCCTCTGTGCATGCTGCAGAAACCTTATCAACAAACCCACGATTTTGTGTAACATTTCCTTTTCTGTATACATACTTTAATGAGATGTCTGTTTGATACTGTGTACTTTATAAGTCATTTTCCACAATTTCATAATGTTTAATTTGAAGGAGGCGTGTCTTGATAGCTGGCTTGGGAAGGGGGCGTGTATGGCACCCCATGCCCTTTCTTATGTTTTCTTACTTAATGTGTTATGTCTGCGGACATTTGAATCAGTCATTGAATAGAAAAAGAAGAGTTGAACCATTTGTGTATATCACAGACTACAAAGATCAAGTGTTTTTTCTATTGATTGGATTCTATAACCTGATTTCCTTCAAAAGGATGTTGTACTGGCACAACTCGATCGTAGCATCTTTGTATCTTCTGCTTCACTTTGAAACAGAACTCTAGTTTAGAGTGAGATATGTTGTCTGACACAAAAGGGAAACACAGAGCCGCACTTTAACATCGATCAGTGTTACTTGAATGAAGATGTAATTGACAGATTGTATTGTCCCATTTTCAGGATGACACGTGGTCTCCTGAAAGTGAATTAGAGGACATATATATGTCTATGACAGAGATATGGCCGGCCCCTGTTTCTATATCGTCAAAATCTCCTGTGCAGTGTACACTAACGAGTCTATTCTGTAAACCTCACATGATAGTTTTCTCTTTGATTGACTGCACAGTAAATTGAGTCCAGCCAACACAATGCTTTTAACATGTAATATGATTATTAAAGGTTACTGGTCTGTTTGGGTGCAGAAATAGAATAGGATCTGAACTGGAGTAAATGTATGAGTTTCTGTTTACTCAAGTTTAATGTAGTTTTTTAAAAATGTTTTAATTCACAGTTAATACATTTTAATAATAATTCAAATATTTTAGTTTTAATCGTCTGGTTTTTATTGTTGTTGAGTATAAATGATCGTTTGGACCTCTACAAATTGCGTGTTTGTGTTCAAATAAAAAATCCCAATCAAACATTTGCCCCTTGTGTGGTGGAAAGAGGTTCTCTGTAGTCTTTAAGAACATGTCATGCCTTTTTAATATGTAGATGACAGATTGTAAGTAAACCTCATGTGACTTTTATTGAAGCGGTTTAGTGTAAGCCTAAAGTTGAAGTGTTTTATCGGTCTGGTAATGACTTTATGATATTGGATTAACTGAGACAGTAAAGAAAGGTCATGATGGGTTGACAGTGAGCCAGTACATAATGTTGTCTTTTAGTTGTTTGTTATAAATCAGGTATCAGGGCAGATTTCTTTGATAAGCATGAAAGTGCTAATGTGGGATTCATAAGAGCTGTTTGATACAAAGCCACTGTGGATTATCATCTTTCATTTTCTACTGCCCGTCTAACATTTGACACATTGTAACAACATCTATCACTTCCAGCATGTGATGTTATTTCATATGTTGTATTTATGTATTTTCCATAGTATTCATTGCTTATAATTTTATCATTCCTTCATTTTATTTCAGAAGTCGTCACTGGTCCAAAAGAGATTTGGTTTATATCAACAGAGTTTTCAACTCGCTCGGCTCCTGAGCTCGAACAAACCACCAAGAGGTAATGAACCTCCTAATGCTGTTAGGTGTGTACACAATAACCACCATCTTTTAAGGTCATGCTTCAGAACTTCATTTTTTTTGTTTTGTGTTTTTCTGTTTCAATGCTCGTTTAGGTTTTGAAAAGTTTTTCCCAAAGAGTGAAGAAAGGTCTGAAGTCAACAAATCAGCTAAAGGTGAGGAAGGTTTGACCCTTTGTCATAGCAAGCAGCATTTGTATTTCCTAAGTTATCAGTTGTTTGTTGTAGTGTATAATAACATCTCCTGTTGCTCCTTAAAGAAAACACCAAAGAGCAAGAATCTCTTGTAAGTGAAAGGCAGGACCCAAGTGATGATGGGGACGAAAGAAGAAGAGGAGAAAAGAAAGATGAATGGTATTCATGGACACGTTTTCAGGTGTGAATCATAACAACATTATTTTTTTACACAAGTTAATACACATATAGAATCCACAAACTCTAATAACTTGTTAGAAATGAAACAACAAAGTTGGAATCTCAGGTCTTTAAATGAATGATATGATATTCTTATAAAACTGTGTATGTGTAGATGATGATTCTGTAGTTGTAGAATTTAATATTATATATATATAAAGTGTACAATAGTGATCAAACAAAGTGGTTTGTGGACTTCTGTCTTACACAGTTTTTTATCAAATAGGAGGATTTTCCCTTTGATGCAAAAGCAGTTCGCAACTTTGCAATCGCCGCAGCAGGCATGACCTCAGCTTTTTTATACTTCTACTTCCGAGAGACGGGGGTCCAGATCTCCTGGAAGGACTTTGTGCAGTACTACTTGAACAGAGGCTTGGTAAGAGGCAGAGAAGGTTTTAGATTTATTTTTTTTGTTTTAATCTGCTCATTTGTGTGAACAAATGTGTAATTGTGCTCTCTCCACAGGTTGATCACCTGGAAGTTGTCAATAAACAATATGTCAAAGTGATTCCTGCCCGTGGGATTAACTCATCAGAAGTGGTAAGTTACATTTTCTTTTTTTTTTTAATTGTATATTTGTCATTTTGTATATTAGTTCTTAACTTGTGTTCGTATATTGGTTAAGTGTAACTGTGCTCATGGCCTCCAGTTTGCCATACCGTACATATGTTGTTCCCTTGGAGAACTTTGCCTTGGACTTCAAAGGCTGCACACATTAAGCTTCCTCCACATGAGTATTAATACATAAGAAACAACAAGAGCAAACAACAATCCACATTTAAACAAAGAAGCACATAACAATGACAAACACAATCAACATACAGCATATTGCACATTATCTGTCTATGTTGAACAAGATCAGCATAAAACACAATCAATGAAAAGAGAAGAACATCATGGCACTATTGCTCAACCCATACAGCCTTAAGAAACAATATTTACGATTTTAAAGTTAAAGTCAAATTTAGGTTCAGTTTGCATGAAGGGACTCTATATCGTCAGCTGGTTTGTTAGAGCTCATACTCAGAGTGGAGAGACAGTGAGATGGGTCAGACAACACTCTGTGCTTGACAGGCTGTTCACAGTTTGAGAATGATCAGCTCCATTAATCATCATCATAAAAGTAATAATAATGTACAACCTTTTTCTCAAGCAAAAAGTTATTAACACTCTTTTACTGTGTTACTTTTGAACTTCTCAATCATAACTGATACCTGAGCAGATCCATCCAAACACTATGCCTTAATTGGATTTTAAGCTTTTACTTTCAATAGCTCAAGAGTTTTCTAACATTATCTTACATAAGCCTCTGGTCCTACCACACCAAGTAAAACTGGAGCAGCAAGCAGCCAGGAGTGCACTGAAAGAGGCACATTTCTCTTTCAAATGTTAAATATTCTTCATTTTTTGTTTCAGCTCGAGAGTTTAAAAACGGTATCCTGCATGTACAGTCATATGTTTCCTGTCATCTGTATGTTTCAGAGCTATTTGTGGTTCAACATTGGCAGTGTTGAGTCATTTGAGCATAACCTGGAGATGGCCCAGAAAGAGATGGGCGTGGAGCCCACACAGAAAGTACCTGTGTTCTTTAGCAGTGAAAGTGATGGGTGAGGATCTCGTCTGATTAGAAACTAAGACAATCATATGGAAGTGACTCTAATGCACATGTAAATAGGCTGACAATGTTCTTATAGAGTGTCTTCTCTTTCCCTGACAGGAATCTGCTTTTCTCTGTTCTCCCAACATTACTGCTGGTGGGCTTTTTACTTTTTGCCTTGCGGCAGGGACCAATGGCAGGAGGCCGTGGAGGTATGGGGCGAGGAAACCCCTTTAGCATGAGCGAATCCAAAGCCAAGGTCATAAAGGACAACATCAGTATTCGATTTAAGGACGTTGCAGGCTGTGAGGAGGCCAAACTGGAGGTTTTGGAGTTTGTAAACTACTTGAAGAACCCTCAAAAGTACCAGGACCTTGGAGCCAAGATCCCAAAGGTGAGGCATTCTGTCTGTCACAAAGGATCCAGAGTTAGGGTGACAGTTACATTTTTAATATGAGGAACTTTCCCCTTCAAAGAATTGCAGGTATTGACCCTGATATTCATCACCTATTAACTTCATTGTTTTCAGGGTGCAGTGTTATCGGGCCCTCCTGGTACTGGCAAAACCTTGCTGGCTAAGGCCACTGCAGGAGAAGCCGACGTCCCCTTCATCACTGTCAACGGCTCAGAATTCCAGGAAATGTTTGTGGGAGTGGGCCCAGCGAGGGTCAGTACTGGGCTCGATTCAGAAATGTTGTTTGGATTGTTAGATTGTAAACAGGAGGACAAAGTAAGATTACTAAGTGGTTGTCATTCTTCCTTATGATAGATAAGAGATATGTTTGCCACAGCACGCAAAAATGCCCCCTGCATCCTTTTCATTGATGAGATCGATGCAGTGGGCAGAAAAAGAGGTGGAGGGAACTTTGGCAACCAGAGTGAGCAGGAAAACACCCTGAACCAGCTGCTTGTGGAAATGGATGGTAAACAGTCATCTCATCTCCTTCACCTCGCAAACCTTTTGTTTATTCCTCCTATGTTTTTTTTTAACCATGCTCTTTACTTTTCTCATTCCAGGGTTCAACAGTAGCACTAATGTGGTTGTTTTAGCGGGGACCAATCGAGCCGATATACTGGATCCAGCTTTGATGAGGCCAGGGCGATTTGATCGACATATATACATAGGTAACATTCCTGAATTCTGCCTTGGTTACAGTCTGCTTTCTAGACCTAAATGATCTGCTCTTATCTGAACGGTTTCCTAATTTACTGGTTTCCCTTCAAAATAACCAAAAAGAAACTCATTTTTTTAAATATGATCTTTGTTTGTAATTGCTTCTTGTTTTTTTTTTAGAGTTGGAAGGAAACATGAAATTCCACTCTTGTTGTATGGTGTTTTGTAATTTCATGTAGATGCACCTCAGTGGCATGATCACATGCAACTGTACTCCAGGAACTGTGAAACAAAAGCAATTTATGTCAATTAAACACAAATGCAGACCCAGAGTAAGCTCTGCTTGTGTCTACTTTAGACCAGGGGTCTGTTTTCTTGTAATCTGTTTGCTTCTATTCAAAATAACTTCAACCCGATTAGACCGGCTTCTGTTCTTTTTTGGCATCTGTTCACTCATGTCATTATAAGCATGTGTTGCAGGCTGCATGCTTTTATCTTTGCTGTTAAAGTGATTTAATCCTTTTCTGGCTTCATAGATGTAATTAGTTATTTTTTTCTCAGCAGTGCTGGACAGTAGAGGACAGGGCAGTTTTTTTTCTCTGACAAATAACACTGGGGTAAAAAGGAGAGCGCTGTCTTTTAGAAAAAGAGATATTGGATATCTGAAGGCAAACATCTGGGATCAGAACCATTATCATGTTTTATATTTTATTTTAAAATAATTTTTCTTTCTTGTTATCATGTTGTCCCTGACGTTTGAAAATTTCTCTCTTCTACAGGTCCACCAGATATTAAAGGCAGGGCCTCCATCTTCAAGGTGCATTTAAGACCTTTAAAGCTGGACCCCAGTATAGAAGTCAAGGCTTTGGCCAGAAAGCTAGCTGCACTAACTCCAGGTTTTACTGGTAAGAACAACAAGCCATTCACTCTTTTGATTGATTTACAGAAACTGTACAGTTTTTTCGTCTTTGTCTGTTCAGAGTAACTTGATTATCGTGTCTCCTTGTTCCTTTCAGGGGCTGATATTGCTAATGTGTGTAATGAAGCTGCTCTAATTGCTGCACGTCACCTCCACCAACATATCAGCACTAAGCACTTTGAACAGGCTGTGGACAGAGTTATCGGGGGTGAGTTCACTATCACACTAAATATCATGACGGTGTGTGTTCATAGAATAACTGCTGTGTGAGGGTTTCACACTTCAGTAACAGAAAGTCTTTAAGTGTTTTTTCTGACCCCCTTGACTGTATTACTATCCATTTATATAGAATAAATGATTACAGTCGAATCGATTCCTAAATGCTTGGATTTTTGATCTTCATACAAATGTTGTACCTGAGAGTATATTTGAATATAACTGAGACTGCCCCTTTGAGGTGTTGTTTCTACAGTACTAAACACTGTGAGTTCATGCACTATTAAGAGATCAACTCTTTGGCTCATGCGCTCCTTGAAGGGAGAAACTACACTGATAACTTGTTGCTTGTTTTGGAGAAACAAATAGAGCGGTTTGGTAAGAAATCCTTGTTACTCTCAGGTTTGGAGAAAAAGTCTCAGGTGCTGCAGCTTCCAGAGAAGACCACTGTGGCGTACCATGAGGCAGGACACGCTGTGGTGGGCTGGTTTCTTGAACATGCAGACCCTCTGCTTAAGGTAGTTAAACCATTTTCTATGACTGCTTGACTGTTGTTACTCCCCAGGAGAATATTTTATCCCTTTGCCTTAAGATCTCACAGAAAATGATTATATTTCTATTAAGACCGATATTAATGTGCTTCCTCAGGTGTCCATTGTTCCCAGAGGGAAAGGTCTAGGTTATGCCCAGTATCTGCCGAAAGAACAGTACCTGTTTAATCGGGAGCAGCTGTTTGACAGAATGTGCATGATGCTGGGAGGTCGTGTGGCTGAGCAGGTTTTTTTCCGCAGAATCACTACTGGGGCTCAGGATGACCTCAGGAAAGTCACTCAGTCTGCCTATGCTCAGGTAATCACATTTATTTTTCCACTTGTAGTTATGTTGTATGTTAATGAGCGTCAGACTTGAAAACCACTTTAGACACAGATTAATGCTCAACATGGTTTTAAGTGGAGCACTGTTTCACTCCAGATCCCACTTCTCCTCACGTTTCAGGTTGTAGAGTTTGGAATGAGTGAGGCTGTGGGTCAGGTGTCCTTTAACCTCCCTCAGCAGGGAGATATTGTCACAGAGAAACCCTTCAGTGAGTCTACAGCCCAGCTTATAGACCAGGAGGTCCGCTTGCTTATAGATACTGCCTTCCAGCGGACACTGAAGCTCGTCACCGATAAGAGAGAGATGGTGGAGAAGGTGAGAAAAGATTGTCTCTGTCTAGGCAGAATAAAAGACAGAAAGACTGGAGTGACGTTACTTCCTAGCAAGGTGTAATATTGTAGCTTTCAGTATTTGCTGTCATGTGTTGCAGGTGGCAAAGCGTCTTCTAGAAAAGGAGATTCTAGACAGAGCCGACATGGTGGAGCTGCTAGGAACCCGTCCCTTTCAGGAGAAGACGTCATATGATGAGTTTGTTGAAGTGTTGGGGGAATTTGAGGAGGACACATCTCTACCTGTAGGGCTGAAGGACTGGAACAAGAATAACAGTGAGGACCAGCAAAAGAAATCATCCCTTTACCTGTAGGTGGACATGGAGCCTCTAGGAAAATATCTGCCTGAATTCAAGTGAATTTCAAAGAAGGTGCAGAGCCATCTAGTCCAGACTGCTGCCTGTCGGGGCTTTGAACAAAAACCTCCCACAAGAGGAGGGATAGAAATTTGTTGCATGGGTCTTAAAAAGGTTAAAGTGGCAGTAACCAAGGTTTCTGTGCAGAGTTCAGTTTGTGGATTACATTTTACTGGAGACGCCTCATGTCCACAATCTAGTGCCGCCTGACACCTTAATGACACCAGGGCTGAAACTAAGGTTTGTTGTATTATTGATTGATCTACCTAATATTTACGGTTCTTTAGTTTTTTAGTCACAGTGAATATCCAAAAGTAAAGTGATGTGCATCACATTTTCCCAAGTTCTTAAGTGACAACTCTTAAGATGTCTTCCTTTGTCCGACCAACGCCTAAATCTTCTTCATTTACCATCATCATCATCAGAACACAGCAAATCGTCAGACACAGAAATCTGTAAATCTTTGCTGACATTTTGCTTGATGACTGAAATGATGAATCGATCATCAAAATAGTTTGCAAATATTGAGTAATGATTGATTAAATGTGAAGCGGGTTTAGCTCTAAGTGACACAGAAGGTCACGTCACCAAATAAGCTATTATCAGTAGAGTTATCATAGGATATGAGTTTTATTCTCAGGGTTATTTTAGAGATGATCATACAGCTATAAATATATGAACAGCTCCAGTATCTGCCACCACTTCATTCTTTAGTGAGTGAATATTATAAAGGAGTTTTCCAAGATTATGGAAACCATGTTGTGTACTTTGACCGTACGTATCACACAGACAGTCAGAAAGCGTTCTTCACTCTGTACTATGAAGACTTTCTTACATTTCATGGGTGATGTATCTCACCCTAAACACATGAATACATTCTTTATATCGTCGTAGTTTTCCAGTGAACTCCAATCTTCCTCGACTTGGTTTCTTATAAATATAAATCAGTACAGGCAGCTGTTACAACTCAGTGTTTGTGAGTTGTAACCTGGATATATGATCAATGTTACAGATAGAACAGGATCACATGTACTGTAGGTTGTTTAGTCGGCTTGTTTCCCACAGCAACACAAGTCAGTTCTGACGTGTTTACTATGAAACAGATTTTTAACGCTTCACTCACTCACACTACCTCACAGTCTCTCTTAACCGCCTTTCTTTTTTTACCTGTTTATGATATAAAACAACTTCCAGGCTGAGCCTTTCCGTGCTTTACTGTATTTCATGTTGATAAGTAAGGGCTTCAAATAAAGGGAGGATTATTATGGGTTTTCTTGAATCTTATAATTTAGAAACATGAAATAAAAAATCCTGATATTCAGGAACTCATTCTTTCAGCCAGTTGTGGCTTATATTTGAGTTTGTCCCCTGATTGTGAGCCAAGAAAGCTACGCTAAATACCTGCTAACGTAGCATGCTCATCTCATGTGTATGAGAACCACTCCTAGGAAGGTTTCTTACTCGGCTTTCATGATGTCAGTGGTCTCTTAAGGGTCAACACTGTATCTCCTATGCTGAGTAAACCGGTGGAATATAAAAATGTACTTGAACTATTAATTCCTTGCTGTCTGACTGGAATCAAGTTTTCATCTTGATAGACCTGCCCAGCTGAAACCTCCAGATTAAAAAAACAAGAAATAAAAAGCAGGCTGGTTCTTTATTATGATATTGTGTGTTGTGTGTGCTTAACAATTCACTCTTTATTGGTGTTGTTTGATGAATTTTTCTTTTTAATGAAGTAATGAATGTTCACTTTACATTGATCTAAAGATAAAGAATGGCACGTCTAAAGTGATGCTGTTGCAGTACAGAACATTATTAAAGTGTTTTTATACCACACTGGCCTGCGTTTTCAGTCGCAGTTTTTATATTTCATCTAATCATCCCTGTTATCTCTTCCAGAAAAAAACTAATTTTAACCAACCGGAGTTCATTATTCCAGCATCATATGTTCATGCATTGTAAACAGTTGATATGCCATCCTGAGCATCTGTGTGTTTGGTGCTGTTTCATGCTTCCCTGTTTATACAAGGAAGACACCAGTAGTGCATTTCCTATGCTACTGAAAAGATTTGTTTCCATGCATTGCTTACTGAAGCTGAAGTTTTGTAAAGTACAGAAAACAAAAAACACAACAACAGACACATTTTCAGGATGTTTTATTCATTCTTCTATCATCCCAGTGTCACTTTTGATCCATTGTATCACAGCATTCAGAATTATTGGCACTCCTGGTAAAGAAAAGCTGAACATGAGATAAATAAATCAAGGGACCAGCTATAACCTTTGCCTAGAGAGATATGAAATATTGCATCAAATGTAAAATGCATCTTTAAAACGTGATTACAAAAACTGTTGGCACTTTGTTGTATTTTTGGCATTCATGCAAAACTCACAACCGGTGCAGCTTCTCTTTATTTCTATCTTCAAATATCCTCAATTAAGCTCATGCCTCTCTGTCATCGGCGTATGAATTACAACTTTGAAGGGAACTTATTACCTTAGCCACAGCAACAAATGCAGCTGTCATTTATAAATGATCCAAAAAACATTTACCCCTAATGAAAAAAAAGTATTAAAGTAAGGAAAAGCGTGTTGCATATAGCTTGACACTTGGTCTGTTTATCTTGTGTGTCTTCTGCACCAAATGCCAATAATTCTTGAGGGCACTGTAAACCAAGTTCAGTGAGAGAAGTGCAAAATATTCATTCAGGGAACAGCACACATTTGTCATTGAGATGGAGAAGGTGTGATGATTACAAACAGCTTGGCCTCAGTGACATCCACTTCCACTGATCGAGTTACCTTCACTGCAGGAAAAGCAAGAAAAAACACCCTGTAACATATTTGAACCAACATATTTAGCAGCAGCCCTCAGCTTAGTGTTTCACTTTGAAAAGCTCGATTGATTTATTATTCTCATTAGCTGGTCATTCAGTGTGAATCCCAGTTTCTGAACTTCAACAAACAAACAATTTTGGAACCACTCTGACTGTTTTCCACCCTGATAGGTTTCAGAATGGCGGCCATCCTCATACCCTGTCTGTCACTCAAAAACAAAGCTTAAAATCATCTGGCAGCTCAGAGTGCATTAAGAGCCCCTTGCATGAAAAACACAATGATTGTGTGTGTTTGTTTATCTAAAAGAGGAGAGTGTGTGTATTGCACATCTCAAAATCTTAAGTTAGAGCACAGAGTTCTTTGTCCAGTGTTCAATCTGAACTTGAGCACCATGAAACATTATGTGAGTGCACAGTGGAAGATGGGGGGCCTCTCGACCCACTTTGCATTCCCACTCGGGCTGTTCCTGTACTGCTCTAGGTTTTCTCCCTCTCTCTGATGTTTTCTCTTCTCTTCAGTTATCATGGCTGCTTCGGCCTTTCCAGTTTCATTAAGGGCTCCGCGGTGTCCGAGTCACTGTGGTGTTTCCTCTCTCTTGGATGCTCAACTTTGCTGCAGCGTGTCCACGAGGGGGAGCGCATGTAACCACCTCTGGGCAGCATGGGCTGGTGGGAACCTAAGAGCCGACATAAAACACAATGGCTAGTTAGCAGATATAAAGACAGATTCAAGAGAACACAAAACATTGCACACCTGTTGTGTTTAACCAGGTTTAACTTCAAAGTACAGTTTTCCTTATGTTTACTGAATATGTTATACATCGCTCTGTAACTTCTGAAAGCATTTTTATAATAATCTCCAGAGCTCTGCTCTTAAAATGTGAAAGACACTTGGAAGACACAGTGACTGAAGGCTTCTTCAGCTGCCAATGAAAGCATTTAGTCAATGGAAAACAGATCATTTTCTTTACCCAAATATTTAAATAAGCATGATTTTCTTGTCTTCCAGTTCTTCATCACACCACTAGATGGTGATGTTGAACACAGCATTAGGACACATGCAAAATGGAATGACTGACAGAGAGCAGACTACTTGCTCTGTTCTGCTTTACAAACCATTTTTAAGGTCATACTCAGTATCTGGCCAACATATCTCCCTGAAGGCATGTCTACAAACTCACACACATTAAACTCTGAGAGGCAAAGAATGAGAAAAAAGAATGAGAAAATGGGAAGGTGGAACACATGTATTGATCTCAGAAGATTGATGGCATCGCTGCTTGAATTTAATGAGGAGGACAACATCCTCCTGAGCAGCATGAAGGAGTCAGCTACAGCAAGCACCATGAACACCTGCTGACAACTGCTAGTGGTGTTTATGCTTATATGAAGCGTCTGTGCATGTACATACAGTATGATGTGAGCGTGTGTGTGATGCATGTTGTTTTTTATTTGTTTGATCAAACTCAGGTCCTGCTAGACCTGTTTTTTTTTATTGATATCCAGTGAAAATAACGGATGGACAGGAATTTAAAAAAACTATTTTCCACGTACACACACACACACTATACATATATGTCTTTTCTTTTTGCTCCTCTCTATTGTTGTCACATACAGAGAGTACCCTGATCTATAGGATACTACGCTGTATTACCTCGGTGCTGCTGGCTGGCAGCCATTACATTCTTCAGTCAGCATATTGCTGTAACTTCATTTTACTGAAACAGCAAATACTTGTACAGAAAACCTGTGAAGGCACAGGGAAAACAAATGTAGTAGAAACACAGATTTGTTTTTATGTGTGCAGGGCACACACTTATATATGTGCTGCACAAGGCCCTTAATTTCAATCCTTTCAGGGCAACACTACTTGTTTTCTGTTCTAATCCTAGCTCAGCCCAATCAGTGATTGAGAAGCAGAGCAAGAATTTTTCACCTACTATTATGTGTAATGTTGTGAATGTCTGGAGCGATCCCAAAGGCAACACATGAGCTGGAATCAGTCTTTAAAAGGTGGTTGGGATATCCTACAGGGTATTTTCTGCCTCTGTCTGAAGCAGTGACATCACTGCAGGTGTTGTATGTATACTTGACAGCAGATGGGAAGTGCTGTGACATCATTTATTAGGGTGTGGTCCATTTTTCCTTGTCTGTGTATAAGAGTTGTTTTTTTCAGGGAGATGTTTCTGTCCTCTACTGCACAAACCAAACAAACTGTCAGAGATAAAAACCCTTGTCATGGGACTTAATGCTAAATAATGCAGTCACACATTATCATAGAATAATTTCAATTTCTACCATGGTTTGCTCTACTACAGAATTTTTGGGGAACCTTTTACAAAAACCCTTCTCTTAAACAAAACTAATATTACTTAAACATTACAGAAACTGATCCTTGGTATCTTAACGGTTGATCAAGCTCGTCTAAGTGTGACTAACGAGCAAATCTACTGGACAGAGTCAGCATTTTGTTCTGTGGATGTGAAGCTTGTCTACAAAGAAAAGCTTGACAAAACACTAATTACTGCATGTTCTACGCTCTATGGGTTCTAGTTATGAAGTACAACTCAATAGTTTTAGTAATTTTAGATGAACTGAACATAAAGGCATGTGAATCTGGAGCCAGATGGCCTAAAGTAAAGGACAGGGACATGGGAATGGGTGAAGGGAGAACGGGGAAGAAAGACAGCAGAGTAAAAAAAACAACAACACACAAATCTATAAATAATATGCTAGTGTAGCTCCCAGGTTATGATAGCTGTCTAAATGGCTTTGAAGGGCCGGCCTTGTTTCCAGCAGGGAGAGTGAATTATTCAGGAACCTACATTAAGCATGAACCCTCTAACCCATCCTCTCCTCTCCTCTCTCCTCTCCTCTCCTCTCCTCTCCTCTCCTCTCCTCTCCTCTCCTCTCCCCGCCTCTCCTCTCCTCTCCTCTCCTCTCCTCTCCTCTCCTCTCCTCTCCTCTCCCCGCCTCTCCTCTCCTCTCCTCTCCTCTCCTCCCCTCCCCTCCTCTTCTCTCCTCTCTGCAATCAACCCTTCTCCTACCTGCTCAACACACAGTCAACAGTTTTAGCCTCATGCAGTACAGCTCAATACTACTTTGTCACTAGTTAATTAAATTACAGTCCCTCTCTTTGTCCCCCACCCAGAACTAACTTATGACAAATTAATTATTAATTACACTACATTTGTCATAGTCCTGTTTGCAATATTTAGCTAATATACTCTGGCATGGTTGATAAAGACTTATCAATAATAATAGAGAACTGAAACATGAAGAGGGTTTTTCCCATGAAACAGAATAGCTGGTCCTTACAGCTCACAGAGATTTTCCAAAAAGTTGCTGTATAAATAATCATTTTCACTCACACAGCTTTTCATTGTCTGCCAAAACAACACCAGATATCCTTATTGTCACAAACATCTCCAGTCTAAGCCAGTTCCCTAGTCGTGTAAATATTGTTGTTTGTGTGTGAAATAGGTCTGCAGTTTTAATTGATTAAAACACTGTTGCATGTTTAAGGACATTTACTTTAATATACGAATGCTGACATTTTAAAATGATGAAATGATATGACAGGACAAGAGCTATTTCATTGTGTAAAACAAATGAGCATTAGCATCTTATTACAGAATATCTCCCGCAGGACATAACCAGAGATTATTTTATAGACACTCAACAACTTTAAGTATCAAAAGCACCAAAACCTAATGCACAGACTATGATAACACCCCACCCTTTTAGCGTTTCCTTACACATGTCAGAATCTCAATGTGTGTGATAACACCAACTACTCTGAGTTATTCACTTACTTATGTGTTGTAGTGCAACTCATAACAAATCTCCCAGGTTGATAGGATCATGCATTTATTTCATCATGAATCAGATTACTTTTCAAATTGGCAAAAATAATCATAATAATACTTATCCTATAACATCACTTTTCTACCCCTCAGCCAGCCGTGACCCAAACTGTGTTTTTCACTAGCACTATATATC